TGTATGAAGCGCTAGATGTACAAAATCGTACGCTTGGGCCAAGGGCACGGTCCGAAGCATCTTGATTGAGGCGTACAGTAGCTTCCTACGTGACGAATGCGGCTTCGGTTGTGAAGTTTAATACTGGCTAAGTCGGCGATATCCAGCTGGCCAGGGATTTGTCTTGGATGCTACCAGAAGGATGGAGATTGGGTAATGCAGTCCAGTCAATAAAGTACTCAGACACAAGGGGTGCTGTGAGGATGCACACCAGACATACACTACCGTAGTGACGAAGGCCAGTGAGAGGTCTCGAAGCTGCCATTGCTACTCGCCACACTTGATCGTTGGCTCCCGCCCTAACGGCGGCTGCTGGGCTTCTGGTTTCTGAGAGTTCTGGAACCCGAGTCGGCGCCGAGCTTTCTGCCTGCCGTGCCATCTCTCTCGATGAGTGGGCAAGCGGGCGGCTGTCTGACCCTGCCGACCTGTCAACTCTGCGTAAGACATGTTGCTTTTTCTGCTCCAAGAATTTGGAGGTGGCGTCTCGCTTAGGCTCTCGCCGATGTCGTCTGTAATGACAACCCGGACGCTTTATGCCTTGGCATCTCGGAAGCGAATTCGAACGCGAAGAAATTGACAGCAATGTTTGGGCTTGGAAGTTTGCTTTCCTACTCGATATATGGAGTGTATGGCACGTCGACCGAAGGAGTGGGCACTGTACTTGGAGATGTGATGCGGTAGGTGTGACGACGGGCAGTTGCGGTAGCTGAGGGCGTGGGTAAGATTTGGTGTATCATTGATGGATGATTCAACTTGATAGGTATCAAGAGGCCCAAAGAAATCAAATAGAAGAACGAGGAGGATTTCAATGACTTGGTCAGATTCCTTGGTTCTAAGAAAGCGGTCTGCAAGGTAAGAAATGGAAGCCGTTCCCACAGAAGCGCATGAACAACGTAAGCTGAAAGAAGACGAGGCAGGAATTCCGAGGTAGGGAGACTAGGTAAGATTCTGTAATGTCGTTGGTCTGGTGGTGGGACCGTGTAACACTGCTCTTCTCCCATGGGACGCAGGCAGAATGGCGACACTTGTGCCAGTTGGACAGGACTCACACGCTTTGTCTCAGAGACAATGAATGTTGGAAGCTGGTAGGTGGTGACTCATTTGCATTCTGAGGCTCAGCGATCTGTATCTCTCGAAAGCGGTCAGTCGGATCCATAGGTACTATTCCACTTGACGATTGAAATGATGTTGACTGCAGTGATGATGTGGGAGTGCGGCAACAAGTCTGACCCTGCAAAGTTCTTCCCCCCCCCCACTGCCGAGGATGGAGGGGTAAGAAATGAAAGGGCAGATTTGGCAAGAAGGAGCGAGGATGCTCACAGGCAGTCTTGAGCCGAAGCGGAGTGTTGTTCAGAGTTTGAAGTGGAAAGAAGGTTAGAGTAAGGGTCGTTGTCGCCGTCGTCGTGTGATTCGATCTCCGCGTGTTGTGCGATGAGTGTCCGTGGAGCTGTTGTGGGCTTCTGGAGCGGGAGGTGGGACCGCCCGCTCCGTGAAGGTGCTTCAATGTGGGGCAGTTGTACCGGCTTGGCATCTCCGTAGGGCAATCGCGGGCAAGGAGGGGCTACCTACCTAGGTTGTAGCGGCAGGCGCCAGGTTCCCCATGGGTTCCTTCTGTTCACATTTTCAAACTTCACGCATCTGAGCTGCGCCTTCCAACAATGTGTTGTCTATCACCAAAGGCAACCATCCGGTCAATCACTGCTCTTGCTATCCTGCTACTTTACCAGCCTCTTCGACAGGTTTCACCGGCCGCATTCCATCCATCATGTTTCTCCGTGCCTTCAATTTTCAACGAGGTTCGGTGAGTCCTCCAGCTGACCGATCGTGACTGCGTTGAGAAGCGAGAATATCTTTCACGCAACACAACACGACTCGGCGAGCATCCCGAACTTGGCCGGATTGGCGGACAGGAATTGATGGCAATTCCACGGGGCGTGTGAAAAGTTGCACCGCGGCATCTCAACCGAAGTAGTAAACGAAGTGCCAAAAGGCTCCCGATTGTTTCTTTCCCCGCACTTAATTGTCAGTCTTGAGCAGTCTGTCGCCATCGCCTCGCTCTTGTGGTCCCGTCTGGGGAAATGGATGACTCTGGCAAGTCTGACCTCACTCCACTTCTGCCACTCATCTTTCCAGGTTGTTTGTTCCCGCAGCTTACTGCCAACTGTATCACTTGTCTTTTGTCCTCATGACCTCGGCAGTCAAATCCAATTTCCGTGCTTACTACTACTGCTTTTCCTACCACGCTTCTGAGCTGAAGTCGCTGGACAAGCATTATGATGGGGTGGGGGATTCCTCCCACTAAAATATATAGTGCGAAAGAGGGTCAGGGATGATATTCATCGTATGGTGAGTGTCCGTCATGGTACAGAGTTTCACAAACTGACAGTACCAAAAGCACTCCAGAAGGTGACGAGGCCGTGGAGAGATGGCTGACATCTTGACTCCCCTGAAGTGGCAATGAGCGGCATTCTTTCACCGAAATAACCGAATACGGCCCCGGCGGTTCCAATAACCCGGTAATGAACACACCACTGCCATCTATACGTCTGCCAGATCAAACTATCCCGAGACTTCAAATACAGATATACGCTATGGACGACTTTAACCTTGGTACCCTCAAGTGACGGGATTATCGCACATTGCACATTCTTCACCGCATTTTCCGTTGGTGATTGCGGCCCGACCAGGTGGGCGAAGAGCTGATGCGTCAGACAAAAGCAAGTGATCAGTAACAGATGCGACCTACGCACGGCAACTCGACCTTGAGCGTTGCACAAGTTGCAAAGGCTTTGTCCTGGCGGGCGAGATATCCCGGATTCGCCAAGCTTTGACAGTAGTCAGGCAGCCAAAGGCTTGAAGGGCAGCAGGAATGCGCCCATGACAGCGCCTCCAATTTCATGACGCTGTAGATCATCAGGTTTCTTATTCCTCACGATTCGAAAACGAACGCCAAACTCGTCTGCATAGGTGTCGACAGCATTGGGACAAATTGACGGTAACCTCCATAATCATCACGTCTTCCAACCGCTAGTCAGACGGTCGATTACGAAGACCTAACGGGTAGTCCCCTTGACTCAGAAATGGCCAATCTCCAAATGAGATTCCCATCTCAGGAATTGCGATGCATGTAACGGTAATCATGGCTTATACCTACCTATTTCGCTGGCCTTGGGATGCAATCTAATCCCAACTTTGACAGAAGAAGAAGTGTCAAGGAATCTCCACTTCAATGGCTGGCACGTCACTGCAAACGAGCGAATTAGCACCGCTTGCACAGAGGGAAAAAGGTAGCCGACGACAAGCGACGCTTTTGGGGGTTCCAGAGATGCTACCGAGCAACTCGGCCCGCAAGATGTCATTCTTCTTCTCCCCCACCACCCAGAGCCAAGTCCATCTTTAGTTTTCACTTGATGACACCAATTCAGGTACCTGAAGCGCGGCGTGACCTCTAGCTCGCCAAATATATAGCCCGAGCACACTACCAGACGCTACTGCAGTGCCGACCTCCGGTCTCTACCCCCGCCAATGCCATGTGAGCTACGCGTGGGAGGATGTGGGACTCGAGTCTTCTTTGTTTCTCTCATTTGTCTTTCTTTCCTTTCCCCACGAATACCCCATCTTTTGATACCCAGTTTGCCCAGTCTCCTCCTACAACAGGACGCTTTGCGCAAATGCCAAGCGATGGGCTAACCTGATGCTGCCCTATACCATCCGGATGAGATTTGTACCGGGCATGTTTAGAGGTACCCACGATCTAGATCCTCGATTTTTGTGGGGTCAAGGATAACCTGTCTGCCTTTTCACTCCTCTCTCGAGATCCTCTCGGCTTTCGTAAGACGACAACTCTGTGGCCGATTACAAATACAAAGGCTCATCTCTTTGGCTAACCCCCTTCCAGATACTCATAGTGTTAAAGTTATCAGACAGTTTTTATGCTTTTTTTCCCTGTTCATTTACGGCCGCCCTTTTCCTTGTCCTCGGCGCCAGTTCCACGATGCACTACATCACACAACCCCCTCAATACCCTTGATTCCTCCAAACCGAGCTGGTCACGAAAACAACAAGTACTCCTATACCCACTTAAGAAGCTCTCTGTCCTGCCTTGTTCCGCCACCGTTCATGTCCTGTTGTGCGGCCCCTGTTTTGCAAATCGTCAGATCCAACCGGTGACGACGGGTGCTATCCCTATCGCTCCTTCTCCCAGGCCTTGGAGATTCCGGACAGACCTGGCTTACATTAGGGTCCTTTCTGTAGTGCGGATGGCAGTTCATCATGCTTGACTAGCTAACCCGACATTATTCTTTTATTGAGCCTGTCAGCTACTCCGTCCCGGCATCTCTCTACTGCATCCATCCCACATATGGAAGCGGCTCTTGCTTGCTCTTCACAAGCACCCTTCGAGTATGCCCTTTATGCACACTGTTTTCTTAAAAGTTTAATCATTCGATATAAATTCATCACGATTTGGTCATCAGGTCATCCACACGCAACCTCGTCATAGCCCATCACCAATTTCTAGATCTAGGTTTCATTAGAGCTGACTTCAACCTTTAAAAGACTAAGACACCTAACCTTACCACAGACGGACTGATCGTCGTTTGCTTGTTACAACAAAGGCACGGTGCGTGGTTCGGTGAGCTGAGTGTGTGACTTCGGATACGCTTTTCCAAAGGCTGGGTCAATCCGGCCTAGTCTTCGGAGTGGGTACTCTCCTCGGGTGCAGGTGTGCGTAAGAGCCAAGCCACGAGTTGATAAGTACGGCGTAGTTGAGCCGTCCCTCTTCCGACCTAACTCTACATGAGGTAAGCGAAATTTCATGTCCATCGAGAAAGCAAAGTTGTTTGTGTCGTATTCAGTCATCAGGCTCACAAAACATCACAAGACGAGCCCATCGGGCAAACCGGCGTTGGCTACTTCGCCCCTCCCGAGAAGACGAGAATATTCACAACATATATTACCGGTCATCAACTGTGAAGTTTCAAACATTAGACTCGGCAATAACGGTGCACTGTAATCCTCCACTCAACCATCGTGTCTGATCCAGGCTTCAACGCTGACCGGCATGTCGACAACCTACCTCATGAAAGCGGCGAGGCCCATTCGCCGGGTTGTTGCTGGCCCCCATATCAGTGGGAGTACTTGGGGCATTGCCTTCCGCCAGCGATTCACCACTTCGGCCGTCCGAAGCAACATCTCTGGAGAGAGCGGTGGTAGTAGCAATGGTAAAGCACGCCAGACACGATGGGCTTCGACGTGGCCTCCTGTATCAGGAGCCATTGTCATCGCCACTACCGCCGGTCTCCTTGGCTGGAGCCTGTCAGAATTTCGGCATAACGGGTTTCCCGGAACTATGTTGATGGATAGTATCTACCCTACGCTAGACTATGCAAGTCTACACGAGATGGAGCAGGTACGTTGATGTGACCATTTTCCAGACCTGGTCATAATCAAGTCACTGCCTTCCCACCCCATTCACAAGTCACGAGAGTTAAGCTTGGACTAATGCGAAAGTTGATTATACCAGGCTATTGCTGAGATCAGAAGAGAGATTGAGGGCGAGGACATCATTTCAACGGACCCGGATGACCTTCACGCTCATGGATATTCGGAGTGGTCATCATCCAACCCAGAGGGATTACCAGTTGCGGTAGCCTACCCCCGATCAACAGAGCATGTGTCCACAATCGCACGGATATGTCACAAGTACCGCGTACCTATCATTCCGTACTCTGGAGGGTCCAGTCTGGAAGGAAACTTTTCTGCGCCTTACGGGGGAATCAGTGTCGATTTTGCCTTTATGGACAAGATCGTGCAGTTCAACAAGGACGATATGGACATTGTCGTGCAGCCGAGCATTGGTTGGCAGGATCTGAATGAGCAGCTGGCTAAGATGGCGAGTGGTCTCTTCTTTCCCATTGATCCAGGTATGTATTGTGCCCGCAAAAGCATGAAGACTGGCGAGTACTCAAGACACTAACCAATATCACAGGCCCGAGTGCCAAAATTGGTGGTATGATTGGCACCAACTGCTCCGGTACGAATGCCGTCAAGTATGGCACCATGAAAGACTGGGTCATCAACCTGACTGTGGTCCTCGCCGACGGCTCCGTCATCAAGACCCGCCGGCGTCCACGCAAGTCCTCAGCCGGCTACAATCTTAACAGTCTCTTTGTGGGCTCGGAGGGAACTCTTGGTCTCGTAACAGAAGCGACTCTCAAGCTGGCCGTCGTCCCCGAGGAGCTCTCTGTCGCAGTCGTCACCTTCCCCACGATCCGCGACGCAGCTGCAGCAGCCGCAGAAGTCATGCAACGGGGTATTCCTGTCGCCGCCATGGAGATCATGGACGAGGTGCAGATGAAGGTAGTCAACATAGGTGGTGCCACTGCGCCGCGGGTGTGGAAGGAGATGCCGACGCTCTTCTTCAAGTTTGCGGGGACGAAAGCAGGCGTACAGGAGAACATTGATTTGGTGCAGAAAATCACCAAGACAAATAAAGGGAGCAACTTTGAGTTTGCCAAGGATGCGAGAGAGCAGAAGTTGTTGTGGTCGGCGAGGAAGGAGAGTCTGTGGAGCATGCTTGCTTTGAGGAAGGAGGGAGAGGAAGTTTGTAAGTTTTCTTTTTTTCTTCTCTTGTGCTTGTTCGATGAAATCCTGACAATGAGGGGAACAAACATCACCGGGCGTTTGTTCACACAAAGACATCAATACTAACACCACTGGTGATTCTAGGGAGCACCGACGTCGCAGTCCCTTTCAGCCGGCTAGCCGACATCATCGAAGTTAGCAAGAAGGAGATGGACGATTTAGGACTGTTCGCTAGCATCCTGGGCCATATTGGTGACGGAAACTTCCATGAGAGCATTATTTACAACCGGCAGAAGAAGGAAGAAAGGGACAAAGTGGAAGTGTGCGTGAAGAATATGGTTAAGAGAGCGCTGGAGATGGAGGGGACGTGTACGGGTGAACACTCGATTGGTTGGGGTAAGAAGGAGTCACTATTGTGGGAGGTCGGGCCAGATACACTTGGTGTCATGGTAAGTCTTTTAAACTCCGGGAGAGTTGGGTAAGGGGCTGGGTTGCGTGCTAACTAAGCGTACAGAAATCGATTAAGCTGGCATTGGATCCCAAGTGGATTATGAACCCGGGTAAGATCTTTGATCGTCGAGCGTGACCGGGAGGGCGAGGAGGTAGGCGCTAGTGTTTAGACGATGGAGTGGCCATAAAAGGAGCACGACCAGGAGACGCAAGGTTAATGGCTAAAGGGATCACGGAAGTGAGTGCATCTACTGAGAATCAAAACCACTGTCTGCACTGGATGCTGTGGCAGTTTAACATTGATTTCAACGCTGAGTTTAGTTTCAGAGGCCGTAGGGCAATGAATACATCAATGACTGAGGCACAGGATACCAAGAAAAGCGGCACGCGTATATATTTCTCGGTTTGGTTGAGACTCCGTAGAGAGGAGATAGGGTTTGTTTACATTTATCAATCGATCTGATGTCCGGCGTCGTAAAAGAAAGTTCCATCTTCCAGACGAGGAGGTTGCGACGGAACCGTGAGTACAGTGGGTTCGGATGATAAACGGGCAGCGGTGACGAGCCCCTCTCTTATCACATATCTCAGATTGAAGGAAGGAACGACGGCAGGGAGGCCGCACGAAGCAAGCATTCGCAACTGCTTCAACCGTCCAAAGGTGGGTACCTAGAGGTAGGATCATTGGGGCTCTTTCCTCAACATGAACAGGAACTTGGAGTTGACAAATTGATTGTCTAGGTACCACTGGTATTCCCCGGATCTTATCATCTCCACGGAGCATCCGTCAATCATCTCTTTTCCAATAGCAATTACCACACCTCAGTCTCACATTTGTTTTACTTTTACATATTGGAAGAGCAGTTGGAAAACAGCTCAGTCAGCTTCAGCTGTAAGTTGACAACATTCTTCTTGCTCAATCCCAGCTTACGGTACGGCCTCCTCTACCTCTACGGTTTCTGTCGTCGCTTCTACCCTGTCCACCACCTCTGTCTCAAGACTGCCTTTTCGATGTTCTTTCGTCCCAGTACACATAAGACACCTTGTAACGGAAGCTGAGAAGTTCTGCGAGTTATCATCTGATTATTGTCTTTGCCACAGCCACGGGTGTCCTCCGTCCGGCGTTCGAGGCTCCAAGGCCAACAGTGCTTTGCCGAATATTTCGTCCCAAGACTTCTCCCGTCATCCGTTACTTGGTAACCACCCCACCATTGTGCTCTCCCGCAAAGTCTAGAGAGGCGCAGATGCCTTACCCTACGGTAGAGGTATTTAACGAGTGCTTTTCTCGTCCATGAGCATGGATTCTTTCCCCATCCACACTCGCCGCCTTCCTCGCCATCTAAAAGACCAAGCAACATCAAACTCAACCAAGGAATAACAGAAGAGGTGTGGTCAGTAACTACTTGCACAACCCCTCAACTGTCACCTGCACGTTATCAGGCACTTACCTCGTGGGTTTCTTCCCCATTACCCCACAAACCGATACATCTGAGTCTATTTCAAGGAACACCTGAAGGCTGACTGTGGCCAAGACAGATATCAACCATGTCCGGAATACCCAACTGGGTAGAGCAGGCGCAGCATGCCATTCTTGTCTCGCCGGACAGAAGCCCCAGAGATCAGGACGCTCGTCCGAGGCATCCTAGCCGCCGCAGATCCAGCCAGCAGCGACATCGAGAGAACACACCAACACCTCGACCCCCCTCGCGACCCTCCTCCAACTCTCCCCAGCCTCGCCCTCGCGCTGTTCGGCAGTTCTCACGGAGCAAACCAGCCTCATTCGCATCTCTCCCCTCTCTCACACAACCAGTCTTCATTTCCAGGGAGTGGAAGTGCGCCAGGACCGCTGCCATTCGCGTCAAGGATGTGCCGCCTGGAGCTAAACTCCAGGACCTTCACGATCTCTTCTCTGAGTATGGTCACATCAGTTACCTTGAACTTGATGAGGACCGTCAAGATGTTTCTGATCGTGGCCGGAGAGCTCTGATTCGCTTTGAGCCACCTCCGCTATCTACAGACTTTCTCTGTCGAGGCATCTGCAGACTCAGGATTGGACTTGTCGACCACTGGCTGCCTCTCGAGACAGTGGACCCAAAGCGCGAGGATCGCAAAGAACGCACCATCAAGACTCAGCTCGGCAACACTTGCCCGCAAACTCTATACGTCTTTCCCTCAACACTGTCTTTCGGTCTCTTAGTTCAGCCTGCAGTATTCATGAAGAAACAATCCGTTCAAACCCTCTCGTCCGACTCTTTACTGAGACTTGAGTTCGATTTCAAGCGCATGCGACTGGTGATTAAATTCTCCCTCCACTACCAACGCGAATCTAGTGGCTTTCGCAGACAGAATGAGCATTACAAGCTCCAGATCAAGTTTGGAGTCATCAAGGAGTTATGCAGAACCATGGTCGGTGAGGAGCATCGTCAAGCTTTGGTCATGACTCTCCGGGATCCGCCGGTTGCGTACAGGAAGAGGGATGTCTCAAAGACATTTGGCGAGAATCGGCTGACTTGGAGCGAGAATGACCTCTGGGAGAGAGTGGTCAACATTAGTCCTGGACTCGATCTCAGCAGAAACCCAGTTTCACTCGCCGAGAACCACCAGTACATTGACCTGGGACGGTGGCTTACCTATTGGATTGAGCTGGATCAACAATCAACAAGAGTCTGGGATCAAGTTCAACAACATTTGCTCGATTGGAATCTCAGGACTAAGTTGACTGTCTTTCCCGAGCCACTTCCCAACCAAAAGCCAAAGGTATGGGATTTTCTGGATGATAGATACGGCCATGATATTCAACAAGTCTCCTCACGGTCCTGGAGCAACGACTTCTCTCTTTTAGCCGCACCGCCCCGTATTTCTCTACCGTTTGATGTTCGGTATCAGCTTGAAGTTTGCATATCGCAAGGAATCATCAACGAGCACAACATTGACCGGCCATTTCTTGAGAAGCTGATGGAATTTTGTGATAATGACAACAGCTTCGGCAAAGATCGGGCTCGCCTCATCCTCGAATATGTTGCCGATGAGTATGCCGGAAAGCGTATCTTCGACCCGATGGAACTCTTCAAGGATAATGCAGCTTTAACTTATTTCCCAACTAGTTTCATGATACCCAACCATTGCGCTTGGGTTCGTAGGGTCACCATCACCCCTACTCGTATCTACTTCAGTACCCCCTGCGTCGAACCCACGAACCGCGTCATCCGCCAGTGGAGACATGCACAAGACTACTTTATCCGCATTCAATTCACCGATGAAGTTCTTGAAGGACGTATCAAGAGCGGCGAAGCGGAACTTCCCCTATTCTTGCGTGTGTACAGGGTATTGGAGAAAGGGGTTGCCATGGGTCCGTGGCATTGGAAGTTCCTTGCCTTTGGCAACTCTCAGATTCGAGAAGCCGGAGCCTTCATGTTCTGTGAACAGAGCAACTTGACATGCGATATGATGCGAGCCTGGATGGGCCGCTTCAGTCATATCAAGGTCATTGCCAAGTATGCGGCTAGACTTGGGCAGTGTTTCTCAACTACCCGTTTGGTGCCTGGTATCCCGGCACCGAGGATCGTCACCATCCCTGATGTTGAAAAGGACGGATTTTGCTTCACGGATGGAGTAGGCAAGATTTCCCCTTTGCTTGCAAAGATCGTAGCGCATGACTGGAGCATTGACCCGCCGCCGTCAGCTTACCAGTTTCGCATGGGAGGTTGCAAGGGAGTCTTGGTAACTTGGCCTGATGTGAAGGGTATGGAGGTTCATATTCGGAAGTCGCAGGAAAAGTTCGTTGCCGAATTCAATGGCCTTGAGGTTGTCAGGTGCTCGCAGTTCTCAACCGCCACTCTCAACCGGCAAATCATTGCCGTTCTCTCGTCTCTTGGTGTTCCCGATCAAGTCTTTGTAGACATGATGGAGCAGCAACTTTCCGACTTCAATGCGGCGATGGAGGACACACAAAAGGCGACGGCGATCCTGAAAACGTTCATTGATGAAAACCATATGACTCCCATCATTGCAGAGATGCTTGCTTACGGCTTTATGGAGTCCCAGGAGCCTTTTGTTCGCACCCTACTTCAGCTGTGGCGATCATGGTCTATCAAAACATTGAAGGAGAAAGCGCGACTCAATGTCGAAAAGAGTGCGTTCCTGCTCGGCTGTGTTGATGAGACTGGCACTCTGAAAGGGCACATGAAGGTCATCGAAGACTGGAAAGACGTGTCCAGTGAGAAGCTTCCACAGATCTTCCTACAGATTCCCGATGATGTCAATGGCGGGTACAGGGTCATTACTGGAACCTGCGTCGTTGGCAGAAACCCGTCTCTCCATCCTGGTGATATCCGTGTGGTGGAGGCAGTTGATGTCCCTGCTTTGCGGCATCTAAGAGACGTGGTGGTGTTCCCCTTGACTGGGGACAGAGACGTGCCCAGCATGTGCTCTGGTGGAGACCTCGATGGTGATGACTTCTTTGTTATTTGGGATCCTTTGCTTATCCCGAAGGAACGCTCCCATCCCCCAATGATCAGTGAACCCATTGCGGGCAAGGAATTGGCAACCGAACCGACCGTAAACAACCTGATTACCTTCTTTGTGTTGTATATGAAATACAACAATCTGCCGTTGATCGCTCATGCTCATCTGGCGACAGCAGATGCGGAGGTGGAAGGAGTGAAGAGCCCGAAATGTAAGTGAACTGTATCATGTTTTTGGAAGAGATACCTATTGACCATTCAATCTGACAGGCCTTGAGCTCGCTTCACTTCATTCCATGGCTGTTGACTACGTGAAGACTGGTGTTGCCGCCGAGTTTCCGAGACGGCTTGACCCCAAGACCTGGCCTCATTTCATGGAGAAAAACAGACACACTTACCACTCCGTAACAGCACTTGGAAAGCTCTACGATATGGTGAAACGGGAAACATTCGACATGAAAGAGAACTACCAGCTGCCGTTTGATAACCGCATCCTCAAGCACACAAAGTGTCGCGCTCTTAGGGATGAGACGCTGACCAAAGCCCGTCGCATCAAATCTCAGTACGACACCGCTATACGCCGCGTGATGTGCCAGCTCGAAATTGCAACCGAGTTCGAAGTCTGGACTGCATTTATCATGTCCAAGCCACGCGTGGGCTCAGACTACAAACTCCAAGACAACGTCGGTCGCGAGTCTTCTGCCCTCAAGCAACACTTCAAGGATCAGTGCAAAAAGGAGGCTGGCGGTGATCTCCTTTCCTTCGTATCGGCCATGTACAGAGTCACTTTCGAAGAAGTTCGCATTGCCCTTTTCGAAGCCAAGCAGCCGCACGTTAGACCTGACGGCAGGCTCGGAACCAGAAGAATTACACCAAAGACCATGCCACTTGTTAGCTTTCCCTGGCTGTTTTGGGACAAGCTCGGTGAGCTTGCCAGGGCAGGCGCCGTATTGCAAAGGAGACTTGACGATGGAAGTGAGGATATGGACCTTTTGAGCGACGTCCCGCTCGTTTCCCAGAGGCGCAGAGGCAAACATAATGCAAGTGGTAGCAGTGACTTTATGGATGAGCATGGTGACCCCCTTTCTTATACACGCACAAGCGATGGCAAGATCATTCACTATGGTCAGATCTTGAACCTTTTCAGTCACGACGACGAGGATGGAGACGAGAGAAATGACGCCCGGGGCAGAAACAGCTCCAGCGAAGATTCTACTCATGTTTCTAATTCGTCCAAATCTAGCTCCAACCTTAGCCCGGTTGCTGAGGAGGACCTTCTTACTTTTGAGTCGCCTCCAGCTAGTCCAGGTGTCACTCCTGCGTCTCCGCAAGTTGACCTCCTAGGCCCGACGCTTACGCTCACCAAGGCCGAGCTCGCTATCGGTCTCGCTGGTCCGGTTGCCACTACCTATACACCTCCGCCTACGGATGAGGAGACAGCAATCTGCCGTGGTCACTCCAACCGCACCCGTCACCTCAGTGCTTCGTCTTTGTCACTTGAACCTCAACCTCGGCTTGAGGAGACTTCTGGGGAGAACGAAGATCTCCTGCTAGATATTTATTCTGCGTCTCCCCCTAAGGCGGGTGGCGCTGGATTGGCCTCCACCGTTGAAAGCGATGTTCCTGTCAAGGGCGGGCCTCCTCCCGTTTGGATGGAGCAGGTGATCAGAATGGGCCACAGGATTCCAACCCCTCCTCTTGACTCGACTGCGAACCCGAATGTAATTGGGGTTCCGCAATTCGAGAGTCCGCTCACTGGGACTATTGTGGCTTCTGCTATTCAGGATCCGTTTGTTTCCCCTTCCCCTGCGGTTGCCACTCCTGCTACCGGTGGTAGTGGTGGTAGTGGTGGTGGTGGTGGTGGTGGTGGATACATTGGTAGTCGCGGTCCCATCAACAAGGAACTCGTCATGGGATTGGACGCAGGAATCAAAGAAAAAGATGGCGAGGAAACCGACGAGGAGGCTGAGGAGGTTGAGTTGGAGATTGACGAGGACCCATGGACAGTGCGTTTTGCACAGATGGCGGCGCTTTAAGGCGCGTTGAGACCACTGGTACCACATTCATTTTCAGTGCTTACCTATTGATTGGTAGCCTTTGAATCGTACTTGATGAAGCAATCACAGGTCTATCGTTGAGTTAGTTTAGGTTTTCAGCAGTGCTTTAGGATTGGTGTGGTAGTAATGTAAGTTGATTATGCTTGCCTGCAAAACTTTGATATCGACCTGTTACTTGATTGGACTTTATACATCACCACCTCCCCCGCTGTCTTTTACTCGACTCCTCTCATACTGATCCTCATCCTGGTCTTCCATCACCGACTGCCTTCCAGAGTACTGTGACTCACAGTCACTCCACATCTTCTCCTCTTCCTCGTCCTCATCCTCCTCGTCACTCTCATCCGACGCCTCCGGCGGTTCATCTACTGTGTTCCCATTGAACCAATCCATACCCATACTCTGATTAGACAGCGCAGCCAAATCCAACATTGCAGCATTGAAGTTGAAAATCGATAGACTCCGCGCTACCAGATCCAAAGCTACTTTTCCCTTGGTTGAGCTCGCGAAGGAGGCATGGCTGAGATTATCATCATCGTCGTCGTCGTCGTCGTCGTCGTTGTCAGCAGCACCATCCATACTTTTTCTGTTGCTGTTCCCCTCTTCAAATACCGCAGGCCCTTCTTTCGTTGAACTTCTTGATGTGATACCATGTGTTTCGTTTTGCCTTCTTATTGGTATAGTTGGTTTGTTGTGCTGAGGAGCAGGCAGAAGAGACTTGGGGGACTTGGACTTGATATCCTCAAAGCACGTCGTCTCCAGCTCTTTTAGAGGGATCATTTCGATGATGCCTTCTCCTCCATTTTCTTCGTTCTGCCCGTGTGTTATACACATCCTAAAGGGTTCACCATCACCCCGTTGTTGTCGTTGTTGTTGGCGGTACTCTGCCCCGATGAAGGTGATGGACGACAGTGCGTTGGTGCCAGAAAGTTTGCGTTTTTGTTTGTGGGGGTGCCAGGTTACTGAGGATATACTGGGAGGTTTTTGTTTTGTTAGTCCGTTTTGGTCGTGTTGTGTGCGTGTGTGTGTGTGAGAGAGAGAGAAGAAAAGTTAAAAGACGGACGGATGGGAAAGGAAAAACGTACCAGATCTCCCCACTAGCACCCTTATCCAAATTCACCACCGGGACACTCCTCCTCCCCTTGATTATGGGTTGATCGCTCCTCAACCAGAGTCGATCGCCCACGTCGTTGGCCCAGTTTGCTGTGTGCACGATGCCGTGGATTGGGGAGGTGTAGCTTTTTAATGTCTTTGTTCGGGATTTCTCATTGTCATTGGCCACATTGCTGTCACTGCTGTTGACTTTCTGATTACCAGCTCGAACTCGACTTTCACCCAAATCAGTAACAAAAGAGGGAAACTCTTCGTCACTAGCTGAGTCAGGATAAGGAATGATGTCGGATTTGGATACCCATTGGACGTGGTTATCCCCTGGTCCACCCACTTGCCGGATGATAAGCTTATCTTTTGAGGAATTAGAAGCTTGGAGGAAGATGTTGGTGGGGGATTCAAGGTGGTGGTGGGGGAGGAAAGTGTTTCTTGGGGGAGATAGGCTAAAGCTGAAGCCGGAGAGTTGGGGAAAAGTAGGGCGGTACTGGTAGCGGTAGATTGGGATCGTCATTGACATTGTGATGGAAGTGGTGAGGATATTGGAGATAGTTTGGGTTTGGAATGGGGCGTGGGTAAATGGTTTGGACAGAGACTGTTGGTTGTGAGGATGGAAGTGGAGATGATCAAGAAGATGGATGGACTCGATCAGAAAATGGAAGGACACGGCGAGGAGATCTTTAAAGATCAAAAATAGTTATGGAACAACATCGTCAAGGAACGAGCAACAAGACATGGAAATAAACAGACAAAGACCATCGGACTTGAGAGTCTCTCGATGCCCAGAGCAGAGCAACATCAGTCAAAGCGTCGTCACACACGCACACACACACGCCGTTTGTCGATCTGGTGATTCAGGGAACAGACAGCCAACTCGGTGCTTGGCTGTGTCGCTGCGTCGGGAGGGCGTCCCTAGGCATCTGGCTTTCTGCCGTGAACCGTAATCACGAATTGCTATTAAGCAGTTGATTCTAAATTGTGATAAGAATCTGAAAGACATTCGGGAATAAGTCTGGATCGGGACGTACATGCACATGCCATACCATATCCGGATCATGTCCAATATCATAACATGATTATGCGTGTGTGTGTGTAGACTCTGTATATACGCAGTTGCGGCGCGAGTGGCGGGTAGCGCGGTTACACTCCCAACAGACACCAAAGAAAGCCACCTCAAACGGTTGACCCCTTGCTGCGAGTTCGCAGCCCAATCAATGAAAGTTTTATGTACAAGGGATGGCGAGGATGGGAAGGGTGTGTGTTGCAAGACAAACGGTCTTCTAAGGGAAGCTGGGAAGCTATGTGAGCCATGTGGCAGGCGGCAGAAAACCCGATGGAGGGGGCCAAAGGTGGAAATTAGAAATAAGAAAAAAAAAAAAAAGAAGAAAAAAAGGCGGGGAGAGAGAGGAAGAGAAGGAGACCATTACTATCCAACACACTCACCGCAAAATGTAAGACACGAGTTCGAGAACACTAGTTCATCGTTCGTTCGTTCAACAACAGTTTGGTGCACTGGGCCAGGCGGCAAACATGTTGCAGTCGTTTCCTTTCCTGAATGAGAATGCATGCATGAGCACTCAGGGTGTCTGTCAGGGCTAATTACACGCCACTTCTTATTTCCTTGTCTTGACGATATCATGAGATTTGGGGTTCTGGCGTACAAAGCCCTGAAAAGGCCAAAGAGAGGGCTTCGTAGTTCTTGTTCCCTGACCCTCTTGAATTGGTAGACACACAGACAGGTTGACAGGGAGGAAGGATTTTGAAGGGAGAGAAGCCGGGAATGTCCCATTGGCTATGTTTCTCATCCGCGGGAACAGCTCCGAAAATCCATAGGCAAACAAACGAGTGCAGGTAGTGAATTGTCTTTCAATAACCCGTTGTGCAGATAGAGAGGAAGAAAAGAGAGGGGATAAAGAAAGATAAGTCGGGTATCATTGAGTAGTGTTAACTTCCTTTGCTGTTCCTGCTGCAGAGACCACCAGTTCACGGCTTCTTAACAGCCTCCTCGCCAAACATCTTTCCCTTGGCCTCCTCCTCCGCCTTCTCCAAATCAATCCCCAACGTCTTGGCCACCCACTCAGCGACCTCCCTCTCCGCCTCCTCATCCAGGTTCGCCTCGGTGCCGCCATACAGCGTCCTGCGCGCCTTCCTTCTCAGGTCCTCCACCGACAACAGGTCAAACGCCCAGCAGGTGCCGCCGGCGGCCATGGTAGCGAAGCTGATGACGTTGAGCGTGGCCAGGTTGAGCGCCTCGACCGCGACCATGGGGTCTCGGGGGGCCTTTGAGTTGATGTTGCCGGGTCGCGCCATGCCCGCTATCATGTTGGGCGCAAAGATTTCCATTTTGGAGGCCTTGAGATGTCGGGCCACGGCGCGCCGGGAGACGGCGACGGAGAGGGCGAAGAAGGTGGCGCCGCCGAAGAAGAGACCGAGCTGCTTCAAGGAGCGCTCCGAGAAGACGGGCGGGTAAGGACGTTCCTCCCACTGCTGTGCGGGTGGGTAGCGTGCCGCGTTTGACGAGGATGAAGGTGAGGCATTGATAGAAGCTGAAACGGGCGTTTGTGTTGTTGATGTTGTTGTTGCTGCTACCGGTGCGGCGGGGGTCGATTGTTGCTGTTGTTGTTGTTGTTGTGGGGATTGCGGAGGCTGACCGTCGGCCCAGACCAGTTTGCTGATGAGGCTGGAGATAATCGGCATCTTTGAAAATGAGTGTGTCTACCAAGAGGTCTGGGTGGGTGGTGAACTTGGAAGAAGACTGAACGAGTTGGAACGGAAGCAGCGAAGACGGATTGACACTGATATTGCTTGGAGCGAAAGTGGAACTGAGGGTGGATGGTGGCTGATGGAGTGATTGCGTGCAAGTGACTGAGCCCGGGACGGGATACAACGAAAAGCCTGTCCACTGTTCCCGGTCGTTCCTGCAGTCTGCAATGCCTCTTGATGGAAGTTGTTTCCGCTGCCTGCCTGCCTGCCTGCCCCAGATTTGCATGCACTGGCGCTTGGACCAGGTGGTGGTTTATCTCCGCCAAATAGAGGTACAAACCCTAACCCTACGGAGTGTTCTTCCTTTGTCGTGCAGTATCTCGGATGCTGTTTTCGGGCATGAGATGGGGAGACAATCTCCAAGCTTGGACTATCTTCTCAGAGTCTGCGCTGTGAACTCATGGCTTCCATTGTGAGCAAGGCTCATGTCCGTATCCTAGGTTCAGCTCGTGGAGGTTCAGCTTGGGCTGATCTCGCGGCCCCGCCCGCTCAGTGAGGCTTCGTGGGGCACCTGAACCCTGAAAGGCAATACCAAAATGTGGGGAAGCCTGGGCCTGTCTCAGTTCTCACTCATCAGCAACTCGCAACATCACCAAGTATCCATGACATCTTACAGGGCTTAATTGATTCGGAGTGGACACTTGAGAGGCTTTCACTCAACTGCAACTGCTTCTATCTGTCATCCAAATCGCAAATAACCGGACTGTATAAAGCTGCAATTCACATTCTGATACCATCCCCGAAGGCCCACATCCGAAAAGCGACAGAACAGATCGCATCAACATCTCAGCTCAACCCTCGCACCCAGAGAACGCTCCATCGAAACCAAACCTCATAGTCAAAATGCCCAAACCAAAGAAAGCCCCAGCAATCAACGGCAAGCCAGCTCAAGCTTCCACACCATCAGCAGCAGCACCACCCGCCAGCAGCGCCCCGCCCTCCTGGCCCCCCTTCAAGCCCTCTCTCCCCATCACCGACCTCACCTTCGACACGCTCGTGGACGACAAAGTCGTCGTCCTTCGGAACTTCTTCCCCAAATCTCTATGTCGCGAATACGTCTCCTTCCTGAGCACGCTCCCACTGATCACCACGCCTGGGAAACCCAAGCGGGGGATGGCGGTGCGAGTCAATGATCGGTTCCAGATTGACGATCAGAAGTTTGCGGATAGGCTGTGGTATGAGACGGGGTTGAAGGAGGCAGTTATGGGGGGTGGGTTGGAGCATTTGTGGTAGGTTGCCTCGTCTGTCCCCAGCTTGAAGAAAGTTACCGGCTAACTGGAAAAACGAAAAAGGGGTGGTGAAGTCATTGGCCTGAACCCAAACATCAGGATATACCGATACACAAAGGGACAGTTTTTTGATGCGCATTGTACGTTTCCCTTAATCACATTCTTCCCCCTTTTTTTTCTTATCCCCCCCTGCACACTCGCATTAACGCTACCCACTGCAGACGACGACTCAAACAAAATCACCCTCACCCTCCCCCCCTCCGACGATACCCCAAGCCCGAACCGACAACAAGTCCCCGCCAAAACGACCTGGACCTTACTGCTTTATCTCACCTCCGCCAGCGAAGGGTGCATGGGCGGCGAGACCGTCTTTTACCCTCACGACCGGCAGGTGGCAAAGGAAGCGATTGCCGTAGCTCCGGAGACGGGTATGCTGTTACTGCATAAGCATGGGAACGACTGTATGTTGCATGAGGGCAGGGAAGTGACGGCGGGCGAGAAGTGGATTATTCGGACGGATTTGTGTGTCGCTAGAGGAGGGAGGTGAGAAGCGTATGCGCGAGAAGGTTGAGGTGATGAATCCTGAGCCTTTTCACTACAGTGGTCGGGATTAAAAGTAAGTCATGGTGGGAGGAAGGCACCAAAGAATCCGACCGAGTTTAGAGGTTGGACATCTCGGGTATCAACGGATACCAGACTGCAGTGATAGACACAAACTGGAAGTGCGAGTAGGAAAAGAAAAGAAAAAAGAAGAGAGAGAGAGGCAAAAGAAGGAGGATGGTGGAAGGTGAAAAGGCAAAAAAATGTGCCAAAAAATATTGAGACTCGGATACCGGGAGTCGAACCCGGGGCTGTTGAGAGAGCAGTCACTCCTGAGAAGTGAGAGTCAACGATGTTACCGCTACACCATACCCGATTGAACTGATATGGTCCGATGTTGTTGAAAGAGGTTGCTGTGGATGAGCTTATATTCATACAATGGTAGCTTGCCGATACCTGTCGTGTGGCATCTCCAAATAACCTTTGACGCTCATCAACATTCTCGCAAAAATGGGCATGTAAAGAAGACCGGCCCTGTTCAAACGAATTGTTGACCACATGCCGAACACTCTTGGAAATAATTTTCGAACGAGGTTCAGCCATTTCAAGAAAAGATATAACCGATTGTGGTTTTCATGAATGTGCCTGCATTGGAGTTAACATCGGTCTGATATTTCCATGTCCTTTCCAAACCGGAACGAGTTCATGCGATCATGACAATTGACATTGGCACTCAGAGAGCTTTTCAATCATGCGTCAAAATCACAAGCACAACAGTTTCGCGGGATTGATTTGGTAAAATAATCTTATTTTCAAGCCTAGGGATCCACATCCAACCGCGGATACACCAACCAACCACACCATCCACCACAAGCTTCAAGACGAGAGTAACATCTAGAACACTTTCAGAAAGTTAGCAACAGAATAACCAACTTCTGCTCTCGATAACATGACAGTGTTACGGGATATAAACTCAGAATATGTAAGAATATACTATCAATTACTACCAGGTATAGGACACCCGGCGAAAGGGTCCCACCATAGCAGCATCAATCGCAAATTACTCTCATCACAGGATATATGGGGTGTGTATGTATGTCAAGTACGGGAGAACAGCAGTGAAAGAAACGTACCTTGTGATGTTTGGTGCAAAGGAGCAATGCAATGAAGCGTGAATGAGCTATCACCACCCATTGCCCCATCATTGCATACCCGTTGTCGAGCGACTGAGCTTGCCGTTGCTGCTGCGAACTGTTCCGAGAGAGGAAGCCAAAAGACGACCGAAAGATAAAGTAACTTCATGTCAGCGTCAATTGCGGCCCTTCCCCAGAGCAGTATATCGCAATACAGCGTAGGCTTGCTCAATACGATGCAGCACCGGCCACCCAACTCTGAACTTTCGATCAGAATTGGAGGCTGTGTTGCTCGTACGTCGTCGTTGTCGTCGTTGTCGGACTGACTGGTTGGAAGAGAGATTGACAAGTCCAAACTTTGCGCAGGAAAAGTTTTGTGTGTCGTTAAATCTTTGCGGCGGATTATGTAAGGCGCGGTTATTCTGTGTGGAGCCAGATGATTGGCGTCTGTTTTTGTGGTCTGTGCTTGTGGCAGCTGCCGGCCAATGCTTGCGGTTCATGCGGGCCGGCACTGCAATATGGGGCTTCGAAGCAGGAGCACCGACGACGACGGGGAACCATTTCCCAACCTTGAAGCCTACCATAGATTTCACAGCATCGCCTCGTCAACTTGATACTGGTTGCGCTCTGCTTTTGAATTCTTGCAGAATAACTGACACGTCGAACAAAGCGTGCGTGACATACTAAGAGGCTTTGAGATTTAAGGGGCGGTCCTTCCTGCCGTGGCTGAGCTTCGATGAAAAGGGGGATGGGATTTGGGTAAAGTGATCAAACATAGGACATAACACAGGTAGGACTTGGACTTCACCTCAACTCTCCAGTCAGATATCGTCACGGTCACGGCTCTGCTTATGTTTTGTTTGGCAGGACAGGTCAATGGATCCAACCACAAGGAACACTCGACTTCTGCGGAGCATGGACGGATCTTCCGAGTTCCGCCGTCATCACCCATATAAAGAGGGCTGTGCCTGACAGATAAGTTACCTATGACGTTGTGATATCTCCCGCACCTTATTCTCTTGAACTTCAGCTGTTGTTCTTCAAACCGAGAACCATGGTCGAACTCGATTGAGTCCAGCGCTTTATCATGTAGCCGGTGTTGCTGTGCCTCATCAATGGCGAAGGTCGCATGGAGGCTGTGCAATGCAGCCTGTGAACGACGGCAGCGAACTGTCTGCATGGCGCGAACAACTGTCCCACGTCGCCCAACCTCCATTGAACTTTGAGACAAGCAAATGGAAAAGCAGCATTGAAACGAAAAAAACATGAGATGTTTTGATCAATAAATCGAGACCATGCCGTTTTGGCTCGACTCCCACAGAGTACCGGTCTGGAACAATGAGAAAGGACCCAGAAGGGAAATATGTCACCGGGCACGCTGGGGTCAGCATTGCACTCTGTCCCGGGGACGGCCTCCGGGCCAAATCCGTCGACACCCTTATTAATATCTTCAAATGATACCACAAGGTGAGCAATCCGGCATAGTGTATGGTATTTATATTGTCGCAAGTAGTATCCCAAGGGTTGAATGTGGATATTTGTCCACACAACTCGGAGTTGGCGAGCCGCTGTAGCGCCTCACAATCCCTGAGCCTGTGATGAAGGTTGATCACTCAGCTCGTGTTGTGGTCGCCAATCTGTAACGGTAGTGATCGCCAGCATTGAGCGGGTTGTGGCCATTGACAGTGGTCTGTTTCTATTGTAAGGCCTTCGAGTTTAACCTCTTGGGGTATCAGGGTCGTGGTTGGTCAGGGTTCTGGGGGTGATTTATTGGGGTTTGTTTGGGGTTCTCGGTGGGGATCACAAGGTTGTTTGTGGATTCACGGTTTAGGGGAGTGATGACTGTGAGGCGGTGCTGTCGGGCTCCCGAGACTCCCCCACAGCGGCCGGAGCGGCAGACAGGGACCGCCTTTGATGCTTCATTCTTCTCTGCATCAGCATTGGTTCTTGACCAGTGAATCAAATGGGAGTTGTCGATTGGTGCTGGAGTTTGAGATGGATGGTGTTGTGAGTTGGCTTTGTTATTGCTTAGCTCGGTGTACTGCATTGTATCAGGAGATCAGGTACCAATGAGATAATCAAGTAACGCATTTGGGCACTACTCCTGCCATCAAAACCAAAACATTGCTAAATGAGCTTGTCGAGAGTAGTGGACAGGGGGAAAGGGGCAAAGGCAGATTGTGGGGGAGATGCAGTTCAAGTGGCAGTTGTGCAATGGTTGGCGAATGTGCGCATCGCACCTTCATCCTGCCAGAAAAAAGAACGTGGTTGCCCGAGTGTCGACGACGAGCAGCAGGCACCACTGCAGCCCATGAGCACTGCACTGCCAGCAGAAGCCAACAGAAAGAGCACTAAACTCTAAACTTTCAACCTGCCCTGGGCATCATCGCCATCTTCACCTCCTCACTGCTTCGAGCTGAAAACCATGATGCCTTACCATTAAATCAGCCAACACTGCGCTGTCTTGGGCGAGTTCAACTGAAAGTTCAAAGGAAAGAATGGATTGTTAAATCCGCCCAAACAAACAGAAGACTCGAACATGGCGAGCAACGTCAACGGCAACGGCACTCCAGCCTCACCACCCCCGGTTTGGATGACACCCTATCTGACCTGCATTCCCAGCTGGCCTAGCGTCAACACCGAGAGAAGCTTGCCTAGCTTGGGAACCACAGGCAGTGTGACTAGGGTTCCCTCCCTGTCTCACCCAGGCGATTGCAGCCTCTGCACAAGCTGACTGGACGTTCCTGGGCTTAGAACCGAACCATCAACCACCAAGCCGGGCCACCAACCGACGAGAGCCACGGTCGTCAAGGACGCTGGCACTGCTAGAAAATCAATCCATTGGCTCTCGATTGTTGCGCGCGGGGCAAGGCTCTGTTACGCAGTGAGCTGAGCATCCCTTTGTCCCTATCTTAACTGCTGACATCTGCTCTCCATTTCCCCTTCCCTTCTCTTGTTTCCTGGACTTTAGTTCTACTCCTTCGTTTTCCCGATACCAAGCCATCGATACCAGCACGACATCCCGAAATAGCTTCACGTCCCCTGTGCGCAACCGGTATCAACCGTGGTGGACCCAGCACCCTGAACAATAGCGAACCTCCTAATCCTGGTGCCTGGAGATCTTCGGCGCGTCCACTAAAGTCCCCAACCACCCAGGGCGCTGGGCCGGGCGGCCAAGCCGCATCCTCAAAAGAGGACCCAGACCCAAACCCATCGAACCGGGCGGGACCCCTGAGGCTTTCCCATCGCCGAGGGAGAGGCATCAAGCGAACGAAGGAGAAAAACAAAAAAGCAATTGGACAATCTGAAGAGCTGCGGGTTTCCAACAATGTCGTGCATACCGGTAAGTCTTGGTTGATCAGGCACCGTGACATCAGCAATTGACTAACTGCCTATAGTTTCGTCGCACGGCAAAGAAGAAGAAGGAGAAACCGTCGTTTATGCGGAGGATGACAACCATGAAAATTGCTTCTCCCAGTCAGCCGACCTCCGCTTTGTTCATGGCTTCCCTGCTTTCGTCAGCACAAGTCTTCAACGCTACCCACAAACCCATGTACATCCACGATGCGTTCAAGAAACACGCCGTGAGGGTTTGGAAAGAAGCTCGCGGAAGCGACAAGCTACTCACGCACGAAAAGCTCCTCCGCTTTTTCGAGATAACCCAAGGTGTCACAACCACGGCTCTTCCAGTCAAGGACGTGTATACCTTCGAGGAATTCTTCTGGGCTTGGAGCAGCAACAAGGCAGCATGGAATGCTGTACGACCTCTGGATCCTACCGAAATCGACCTCACCTATCCGATTAGCAATTATTTTATCAGTAGCAGTCACAACACTTACTTGGAAGGAAACCAACTATCGTCCAAGAGTTCTGCAGAGGCATACAAAGCCGTATGTATGCACAACCCCTCGCCGCTATTAACAATGTCTAACAGGCCTCATAGGTGTTACGGAACGGATGCAGATGCATCGAAATCGACGTGTGGAATGGTGCCCCGTCACGAACCCCATCCAAGTCTCCGAATGGGGAACATCGCCGACATATGTCAAATGTTTCCGCCATGTCACGAACGAGTGTCCGACATGGCTCAAGCCTGAGCGTCGATCAGCCAGGTCTTTACACAATGCGAACTCCCCGAGACAGCGGCACGAGTCTGGATCCAAAGGAACTGAGCGACCGTATGGATCGGTCCACATCATCATCATCCGGGTCCGTCAAGAGGGGTGAACCCATCGTGCACCATCATGGAACCATGACAACCACGGTACCTTTTAGGGAGGTTTGCAAGGCTGTTAGAGAAGAGGCGTTCGTAACGAATCATCTACCGATCATTGTCAGTTTGGAGGTTGGTGCGGACCGTGAGCAACAAGAGATGATGGTGGAGATCATGAAGGAGGAATGGGCCGGTTTGCTTCTCGAAGAGCCTTTCGAGGACTGCGATCGCCTAAAACAGCAACCCCGACTGGAACAACTGCTCGACAAGATTCTGATCAAGGTGAAGCGGCTGGATGATTGCAATGGCGAGATACAGGAAGCTCAGCGTGGGCGATCTCTAAATGTCAGCTCCCTGCGCTCCAAACCACCAATTTGCGAAATGCTTGCTGCCCTAGCCATTTATACGCGCAGTGAGCATTTTGACGATGTCAACTCTTTATCCTCAACAACTCCCAGCCATATCTTCAGCGTTAACGAGGACAAGTTCCTGGATATGATAGCCCAGGATAAGGCCAGAATGAAGATCATGGACCACAACAGGCAGTACTTTATGCGAATATATCCCAAAGGTCTTCGCTTCGACAGCAGCAACCCCGACCCTACTATTCCGTGGCGACGAGGTGTGCAGATGGTGGCCATGAACTGGCAGAATACCGACGAAGGCACGATGCTCAACGATGCCATGTTTGCGGACACAAATGGCTGGATTCTCAAGCCCACTGGCTTTCTGAAAAATCAAGACGAGATACCGACAAAGACTGTCGACCTACGAATCACTGTTCTCGCAGGACAGTCGATCCCCGTACCTGAGGGTCGGCAGGCTAAGAAGCTGCGCACCCGAGTGAAGGTGGAGTTGCACGTCGAAAATCCAGACAAGGCGCGTGACTTGACGCGAATCACTCAACCACAGTCAACCGAGAATCCAGACTGGGAACGTAATCCATATCCGCTCAAGTTCCCGGGCGTGAGTGGGGTTGTGGAAGAGCTCAGCTTTGTTAGGTAAGTTTTATGTTCTTACTTCCTCCGGTTTTTCTTCCCTACGTTTTTTGAACTTCTGCCCATCTTCACACGACGTGTCATCAGACCACAACTACCGGTCGCTTGAACCTTTACTGTCCACCTGTCCATTTGAGTTGAATATTTGTTGTCTTGTTTTGATGTGATGACTTTGATGCATGGAGCCGCTGCCGTGGGCAAACTTCCTTGGTCATTTTCTTGTTCTCCATCATGTTTAATGTTCTGTTGGCTTTCCATATCAGGGAGACAATGACAGGCAGGATGCTTCAGGCAAAGTTGTCCGGACAGCAAACTCTCGAACAATGTGCTGGGTTTTTGGGAGTGGAAGAAGTCTCTGTCCGAGAGCGAGGGATACATAGTGACCTCCCCCGGACGAGTGTGACTGTGTGACACGGGAGTCTCGCATACCGACATCGGCTTCCTTCCGGTCGGCCGGCTCCGTCCACTCACTTTCAATCTCCCTCTTCTTTCTCCCCCTTCAAGCTTTATTCGACACGCACCCTCATCCTCGCCCGCTTCTCATCCACTCATAATCATTCAACTCACCCTACTTCGGCTCACGAAGCTGTTGCTAACCTAGGCGTGTCTCCTTTAGATTCAAAGTTGAAGAGCCCTCCTCAAGTGGCTTCGGCAACGAGCTTCTCGCTTGGGCTTGCATCCGTCTCGACCGCTTGCAGCGGGGATATAGATGTCTCGACCTTTATCACCCCCTTACCCGTCGGCCACTCCGCCGACACGGCGGACATTCCGCATCGCAGCTTTTTATCAGGGTCGAGAAAAATGTTCGACAGGGCTTCCCGACAAACCGGACACATGCCGAGACTGCCGTCGGGTCGAAGTGACATATGGCCACATGACAGCGGCACCCGGTCGTCATCCATTCTATTTTTATTTTATTTTTTCGTTTTCCTGATATCCATGTTTTAATATGGCGTTTTTCCTGACTCCGGTATTGGCGTGGAGAACATTTCAGCATGGCGTTCAAGGTAGCAGGTTTCTATTCGACTGCATGGTATAAGGACAAAGAAGAAGAAGAAGAAGAAGAAGAAGAAGACATGCGCAAAGCAAAGTAAAGACTATTTCAGGTGGAATCGTATGGGTATTACATTGATTTTAGTGGCTTACAAGTTGGATATTGGAAGTCAGTTGGACACAGAGCGATGTTGCCTGATGAAGTTCTTGGATGGGAAATGTGTTTGGAAAGGATCAGATACCCTTTGTTCGCTCGCAGTTGGTCCTCGAATTGGAGCAACTGGCGATGAAGTTAGTAAGAAATGAACAATTTTTACTTATCTTTTTTTTGTCTCTCGCTTCATTCGCCGTGCAAACCGATATGCTTGACCTCAGGTTTTCATCGAAATTCATAACGAAGAATCACACATAGCAAGAATCCCCTGGAGAGAAAACGCTACAGCCACGAGTCAACTCCCACCTGCCTCTGGGATGTCAGAGTCTCTATCAGGTTGATCTACAATATGAATAGCAATTTGTAGAGGTATGAAATTGAAACTTTTTCCCTACCTGTTTCCCTTTTTTTTTTTTTCTTTGTTTGCGCCTGTGTTGGGAAGGTGAAGCCGAAAGCAACTGTCTGTGGTCCACCAAGACCGGGTTATCTTGTCCTCACAACCACTGTTTGTTTTTACCATTATAGGCTTAATATTCCTACAATATGTGCAATAACAACACTAAGCGCCAGTGGTTTAGTGGTAAAATCCATCGTTGCCATCGATGGGCCCCGCGTTCGATTCGCGGCTGGCGCATTTCTTTTGCATTTTTTCTAGCATCTTGGTTCCCTTCAGGTGAGATCATCTAGTTTTCTTTGTTTTACTCTTTTTTTCCCCTTTCCTTTCCAAATCCCTCCTTTTTTCCGTATCCCTACACCGGTCTGGTGTTTTCTTCCTTTTTTTCTGTCGGAACATTTGTTTAGCAAAAGCATAGTTAGGGGTTCGACTACGAATCTTGTTGCTTTTTTTTTTTTTTTTTTTTTTTTTTTTTTTTTTTTTTTTTTTTTTTTTTTTTTTTGGTTTTGGGTGCTCTTGGAGATTTATCTTTCCTTGTCGATATGATAAACGATGTGCCAGGGCCAATTCACCGCCAGACGGTTTCCATTTTTTTATTTACTTCTTTTCTGGTCGAGTTTTAATCTAATTCAACATCTCGTGCCTTACGCAATTCGAGTTTCGTATGACGACAAAGTTCATCTATGAGTTCTTTGCTCAACTTGTGCAGTCATTATCATTCCTACCAACAATCCGCATGGCAAACACAAAGCTCGGGAAAACGCAACATCATGTTATCTTGCTGAAATTTTCTCGACAAGGTCGGAAAGACTACGAGACTCCTTCCCAAGGCGTTGATCATTCTCCGTTGCTTGTGTTGTTGCTTGTCAGAAATGATCGAGGGCCGTTGTTTCCCTTCCGGCCTTCATATCGAAGACGGCACCCGACGTTTGGCTAATATCGGAGTGACACGGAGCGAGTGAGGTTATGGGACGGGGAAAACGGAAGACGGGGTGCCGCCGGGCCAAGACGGGCAGATCGGGCAGGCCGGTTTGCGTACTTAGCGTACTGACAGCCACGAGAAGGGAAGAAAGTAAAAAGCCCATGGAATGATGGAGTAGACGGCGGAGGACTGAGAGTTAATTCGTTCCCAACAGTCCGGTTCCAGGACGGAAGGAAGGACGGAAGGGAAGGGAAGGGAAGGAAGGATAGGAGAAAACCACATCCTTCCGTGACCGCCACCGCAGACCACGAAGTTTCCCGTGGCCAGATATTTCCGTGCAACACAAAGGCTGGGATCTTTTCCCGTTACTCGTCAGGTCTTCATAAACTGATCGTCTTGAAGTGGTACTCAATGTTTGCGCCGTTTGGGAGAGACATCTCCTCGGAGTCAATTGTCAACCATGACAGAGGGTTCTGGAAGGGCATGGTTGCCCTGAAGTACCGACGACCGAGGGTTCCGGGAGGGCAACATAGTTTAGGGATCCATGGACCTATCTCACTCGCTCGTGAGCAAGTATCCATCAACCTCCTAGGCATTTTTTTTGATGCTCGCGTAGAGGTGTCGACACTTGACGACGGTCAGGGTCTTGAAGATGGGGCTCCATTATCAGATCATTTGCTGGCACAGTGAATAAGCCTCCCTGCAGTTGTTCCTGCATGTACACAGTGTGTGATTATTTGGTGCAGACATGTCGGGGACGAGGTGGGCGGCAGATTGGAGGCGTCCCGAACGTTGTCGGCGAGGAGAGATTCAATCTGCATAGCAAACGCAAGATCCCGGTGTTGAATTGAAACCGATTTCAAGCTCTCTCGTGAAGCATAGCGTGAGAAAGAGGATGGCATATCTTTGAATAGTCAGCAACGTCATGTGACCTATTGGTGCAAATTTTGTCAGTCAGCGATATCGCACGCTCTGCCACTGCTGGGATTTCCTCTCAGCAAAAAGTCTAGCATTGGTTCACGGTTGTCACCATGCCAGATACCTCGCTACAGCGCTGGCATTCAGGAAGCATCTCATCGTCATCACGACGAGATCTGGGTGGAGCATATGGGTTAAGCCCTTCTCTTTCGCCAGGGCTTGCCCGTTGCGGTACAGCTTCAATTGTACTCCGATAGAGCTTCAAACTCATCGGCGGCCTGTCAGGCCATCCGTGAATGTTGCTGGTTTCAGGAGGGCGGTCCTGAATGAAAGTTGATATCACAACAACAACGACGATGCAGGGGCGCTAATGTACCGATGGAAAAGCCGACAAGGGGCGGGCTTGACGATCCCCATTGTTGGGCTCGCTGTTCTTCGGTCCACCGGGAGTCTGGAGAGCATCACGTCAAGTGACACCTTGCCGGTCATAACAGCCGAAAAAAAGGTAGACCAAGGTGCCCAAAAACATATGAATCGATGCGTTTATTGGGTACCTTTGAAATCTGATGGGCTGCAGAACGCGGTTGCAGGATACTCGAATTGCGAGGGTATAGACGTGACAGCTGGCATAACCAAACTTCGTTTGATTCAGAAAACGCCAACGAAGGTAAGGATAAGATCGAGAGAGAGTATGGTAATCACGGTTCGAGTGTGGAGAAGAGGCCAGCAGTGATGTCCATGAATATGATGTCAGTGGACTCGTTGCGAGTCGGGAGTTGAGTCGTCAGGTTGACGAGCAGACCCAGGGGCCAGATGTGCGGGGTTGAGGTGATGTGTAAAAGAACGACTCGACGAAGTAAGGTGGATTAGCATGAGGCTCCCCAGACTTGAGATCATGAGCCGGCCGAGGTCGGCTTGGGCTATAGGTTCGGTAGATGTCTAGTTTGAGCCGAGTGGATGTGACTTGATCCACCAGAGCTCTCATCTCCTGATTTGCTCGGGCGTTGAAGTGAGAACGAGAGCATGACCAGAAGGGCAGACAACGGTCTTATCTTGTCCTGTTGGCCAATATTTCCCTCGGAGACCCTGGCAAAAGATTTTTTTCCTGTTGGCTGGGTGGTTTGATCTCGATGGGTGATGTGCAGAGGTTCATGATGACGGACAAATCACCATCGACCATGGCGTTGGACGTTGACCGTCTGCTCGGGAGTTGAACCCAGACGCGCAGGGGGTCATTGTGGGATTGTGGGATACATACTAAGTCTAGTGGGCGCATCGTGGAAGTGCCAGTGACAGTGTAAACGGAAGAAGGGGGAAGCCGGGGCAGCCTCCATGAGCCATCATATCATATTGACTCGCGGACAACGAACAGGGACGGGCGGTACTAAATCAGGTCGGGAATATGGATAATGGTGTTTCTGTCGTTGGAGGCTCCTGGGGATTGTCAGTTGGTTCTTGGGAGAAATGGATTGAGAGCAGCCAGACGGGAAAGGACGGGTCGGAGAAGATGGCGGGCACCGGCGCACACGTAGCACCCAATTCAGGCAGAGTTTTTTGCTTGTGTAATTTCATGTTCTTGCCGCCATCATGTGTCCTTCTTTCTCTTGGAGAAGGCGGAACTGAACTGGAGTAGGTAGCTTCTTTTTCTTGGTAGTTGTGACCGTAGTTGTGGGGCGCTCTTGCCAGTCCCAGAACTGGGTTTACTGACTGGTCACAATTCACATCCCTTCCACGCCCCATGGTCCCGTTCTTGCAAACCAATCTCTCCCAAGCCAAGCAAATTCCCAGACCTCGACTCAACAAAAAAAAAAACACACAAAGAGGACAAGTGGAACTGGACTATCACGAACCGGGAGTGGGTGATTCGAACGATGCCCTACCTATCTCTGGGTAGGTAGTTTCTGGGCAGTCTCTGAATGGTAAGGTAGTCTAGCGCTGCGCTGTGCCAGTGTCAAGAGTCCAAGGACGGTTACAGCAAGCCGCAAGCTGCATGATCAGGCTTCAATGTCATGGAAAAAAACACGCCCTGGACTTTTCCATTTCCTGCAACTCTCCGGCAGACGGCGAGCCCTGCGCAAACGACACTTGTCTCAGAATTGAACCAGGCTAGCCTCGCCTTGCAGTGCGCTACACAGCATACAGTAGGTAGATGGCACGCTGAATGCCAAGCTGGACAAGTGCAAGCTAGACAAGCTGCGACCGTTGAGACTCTCCCAGGAACCAAATCGCGCCCGGTCCTTGCATTCTTAGGTTTGTCTCGAGTGTTTGAACGATGGAACAAGACATACATAGGCGATATGGAGTCCTCGGAGAATCCTGTTGACCAATGGCAGCCCGGCATCTACACCAAGCTGTGATTTCACCAACGACCAAACGGGTGCTTTTTCGCCCGGCGGGTCTGTCTGTCTCTCTCCCATCTTGTCACCACTTCCAGGTTGTGGGCTGGTGATCGGTAGGTACCGGCCCCCATATGGACATCGTTTGTCGGAGACATGTCGTTGCCGTTTCCCGGAGAGGGATCCCGGTCCGGCCGTTCGACTTTCCCACCTGTGTGCTGTCTTTTGTGCGTCAGTTCTAATGCATAAAACCGTCGAGCCGCTGTCTCGCCGTTCGGAAAGACGCCGTCCATCAGACGACGGCTTCCTATCGTCCCTCGTGTCCATGCCGAGCCTCACCAGTATATGGCCTTGGTTCCTCATCTCCGTTCCCTTACCGCCAGCCGTCTCCCGTCCGAAGAATTCGAGAACGATCACGGTTCATCCTAGCTTCCTTGATCCTTACTGTCGCCAACGCAATCCCGCCTCGTCACCCGCTCAAAGAAAAAGAGTCCGGCTTCATGCTACATCAGCCAGGAATGCATATATAGACCTGCCCTCTGCTTGCTCTTGTCCTCCTCCTCAGCACCATCATCATCATCAACAACAACAACAACAACAACAACAACAACGAACAACGACAACAACAGCAGACATTGACCACTCGGACAATCTACAAGCACACTTGAACCCATACGCTTCCACGACCTTGAACACATCAACACTTCCTCACTCCACTTCCTACAACCCCATAATCTTACTTTGAACCTGGAAACACGACAAAAATGTGCCACACAATCCCCGCCCACGCTTGCCACTACAACATGAACAAGCCCGAGCAGCAGGAACTGGTCAACCGGCAGGGACAGGGAGCCTTGGTTGACTTTGCCAATGTGAGTACCAAGACAGTTCACTGTTACCCTTACCCACCTGGGCCACCACCCCACGTTTCCGTTACTTGTATTTTACATACAAGAGGGTGGCGGTCCGGTTGGTGCAGTTGATATGCAGTGCAACACCGCCATGTGGTAAATACAGTGACTAACACTTGTGCCTTCACAGCTTCCCGGTGTTCGTTGCCCAGAATGTCTCAAGAAGGGCACTGAGACATGGGTAATCCGAGGCCGTGCCTGCCCCGTCTGCAGGCATGAGTGCCTCTAAGCCAAATGCCGAAATCCATCATTTCAACAGAACTACTGCGGAGGACTTAATACTGGGCTTTTCTTTCCCTCGCGTCATGGTTTTCGGAATGGACAAAAAAAAAAAAGGACGACAACGGGTCGGAGTTGGGAAGCATGCTAGATTTTGGGGAGGCCTTTTGATACCCTTGCCTTTTCGGATTGCTTGATTTTCGTTTTCCATCCTTGGGGTCACGGTGTTACGGGCATGGCTTAAAGGGGGGCCGATCAGGTGGAAATCCGGCACAGGATAATGAACATCAAGGGAAGGAGGGAATCATACAAAAAGGGCGATGGAATGTCCGAGACGACGAGCTGGGAACTAGATTGGGATAGGAGATAATTAAAAAAGTACTTGTGGCTCACGCGCACACAAAAGTTGGTACACCTATGGAGAAACCATGATACTCGCTCAAGCACTACATGAATACCGGAAGGGCTCCTATTGGGCCACAACTAGTGGCATTTTAGAACGAGAGCTAATATGAAGGCTTGAGACACTCTTCCTAAACCTCGACAGTTCCTGACAAAGAACATGGTGTAACAAGACATAGGACCAACGGGACTGATGTGGCATTACCCTGAATCGAGTGGCGCCCATCAACTCATCTCTCCACATCTCCGACGTAACACTGCCTATTTCTCCTCCAGTTCATATCAGCTTACACCGGATGGACCACTTGAATAACAGGTACGACACTACGAATGTGCAAACATATGGGTCCAGCATCCGACAGCGAGAAATTTCGAGACAGCGGAAAAGGAGGAGGCTGTCCGTGGCACGATCACACAATGACACAACAGAACCCATCAGTAAGGATGAGGCGAGACACAGGCTGCTCATGATATACCAACCGATCCAGCAAATACACTACGTTGCCCTACCAAGCACATATAAACACATATATTACTTTCCAGGCAGACAGTGAGAACACCAACTACGACGCAGCCGATTTGAGGTTACAAGCTCATTATAAGTTGGGCAACAACACTCCAATCGGCAGTATATGATCTTAAAAAAAAAGAAACTGGAAGAATATCACTGAACACACACACACCCACGGTTCACCAACCACCAATCCCCCAACATGACGCGGCACGGCACGGCACACCAGCCTAATAACCAAACCACCAACACGACGGCACACCAAACACACTCCATCACACAGACGCAAGACCACAAACACAGACTGAAGACAACCTGACACCAAAACAGGGCCGAAGCCACAGGCGACCGGTGAAGATCCTTTCATATCGGAGTGTTTCCCAGATAGATGAAAAGCATGGGAAAATCAGCTCATGGCCCACAACGGTGGCTCTTCTGTCGTATTGTAGATTGTTGGGCAAGATGAGGCGGCCTTCAATGGGTCTAAACACATGACAAGACGACCTCACCTTATAGAACACAAAGCAAAGATTCTACCTACAGAACAATGGTGAAGTAGCATCATGACCTCACCTCGCCTCACTGATAACTACAAGACCTTGAAGTAGTTCTCCATAGTGAACTTGGGTTTCACCAATCCAAAACAAGAAGAAGAGGAAGAAGGGAATCGAATCAAAGGGGAAAAGTAAACAAACCCCTAGTCTCAAGAGCCCAGTTTGGCCCGTCCTCAATTCCCGAGTGCCCAGTCCCCCAGTCCCCCCCCCACCTTCTCGCACATCACACACACTCTTAAAAATCTGTGCAGTTACATGGGCGTTCCCTGTTTTCTCAGCGACGGGATCGACCGAATGTACCGCTGGATATGGACCAACTAAAAGCAGATATCTAGTTTAATGTCATTGATAAACTGCTGCTGGATGGATGGATGGATGCAACCCATGGGATGGGACGAACCTACCTCTACCTACTGGGTCGAGATAAGCAGACAGATATGACGACAGACAGCACTGTACTACACCACACCACACCACCGAGCAATGAAATTATCTGAGGGAATCGAATATAGAGGCTTCTCGAATGGGTTAGAGGTTAGATACAACACACAACATGCGAGGGCCTCGTGTTGAGTGCTAAGCTTCTATTGTGTAGGTACTAAGTAAGGTGTGGAGAAGGTAACGGAGAGATATGGCATCACATGCCGCAATCGGATGAAACTACCCACCAGAGGAGGCGCGATTACCTTTGGTACCCGTGTCTTCAGGGCGGCTTGAGCAACCCAAACAGAGCTGACTGTGAGCAACAAAAATAGGTCGCCATGGTAACAGATAGGAAATCACGACAGTACCTTGGGTCAGTACTCTTCGAAGCTCGAACAATGCACATCGACTGAGCTGTGAGCAGCAACTTGGAAAACCATGGAAGCAGAGATCTCTAGGAAGTTATACCGGGACCTAGTTGTTTGATCAACTCAAAATCGAGAAAGGGTCCAAGACAGTGAAAGGCATGTGGCTCCAACATTGAACGGTGTCAAAAGCTGATGCTTGATTATTTGTCGATGAGTAAAAATGATAGAAATGAAGGGTCCACGCAAAAGGAGGTGGAAGTGGGGAATGGAACCTTGATGGCCACCCCCTCGGCAGGCAGATCCGGGGAAAGTGGGGAGGAGTCCGAGCAGAACTCCGGGCCAGCTGGGCCAGGCCCCCTGAAGGCCCCGCTGAAAGGGCACGGGGCTGGGCAACAGGGCTGGGGCTCACTGGCAAAGACAAGGGCTTGTCCTCCACAGGGCCGGCCCCACTATAGTTCTCTTAGCCTCCACCACCACTTCCACTTTCCGGCCAGCATCGGCAGCCATTGGCCGCCATGGGGAGCCATTGAGCCGTTGATTGGCACACATGGACAGCGTGGACGACCAGGGATGGATGGCGGACTGTTGACCGTCTCCCGCTGTCGGGTCTCAGCGCAACCCTCCCGTCGCCCGGCCTTGGGAATCCGAAGATTAGATTAGCAAGCAACCATAACCATGACGCCGGAGCAGAACGGCATCGACATATTGTGTGACGCCGCGGGCTCCGATCTGCTATTGTCCTCGCTCGACTATGCGACGAACACTGCCTCGTCCACCTCTTCCGCCAGCGCCAACCACCCCCATCCACCTCCGATCGCCATCCCGCCCTCAAGCACGCTTCCTCCAGGTCTCCCTGACACTCCTCTTCACGGCCACCAGCAAACAGCGGGCCCGCCCCGAGCCAAACGGCCAAAGACCGAGTCGCTTCCCTCCTCCGCCCCGGCCTCGACTTCCAACCACGTCTGTCAGATCTGCAAACGCGTCTATGAGCGCGCCGACCACCTCACCCGTCACCTGCGCTCCCATGAGAATGCCCGCCAGTACCAATGCACTCGCTGCCCCAAGCGCTTCAATCGCGCGTACGTATCGCCCGGCCCATGCTCCACGTCCCAGCCCACCCTTCACTAACTTTGATATCCCATCGCAGAGATCTCCTCACGCGCCACGAGACAACACACGACAGGGACAGCGATGGCAAAGGACGCGCCATAATCCGCCGGAGCGATCGCGCCGCCGAAGCATGCCTCAACTGCGCCATGTCCAAGGCAAAGTGCGATGACATGAAACCATGCACTCGCTGTCGGCTCAAGAACCTCGTCTGCGAGACCTCCAACAAGAAGACACCGCAATATCGGACGGCAGATGGCACCGATGCCGGTTCCGTCTTCACACCCTCTGAAAATGGTACCCCCATTGCCGCCTCGGCCTCCATGACGCCCGTCGACGGGACCATGCCGTCGTCTTACGGTGGCTTCAACGGCGGTTACGGCATGCCTCCTGCCAAGCAATCGACTTCATATGGTCATCCGCAACATCATCCCCAACAACACCACCTACAGCATCCGTACCCACCTGCGCATCACCAGCCACATCAAGACGTAGGGGCAATCAATCACCTCCATCTCATCGCAGGGCCAATGATGAACGCCCTCCCCGAGGATCTCCTCTACCCAGTCCACTCCAACCCCACAAACCCCTGGTTCCAAGACATCGACTTCACCTCATGGGACATCAACTTCGACGGCTTCTCCGTGCCCCAGATCGATTCCTACAGCCAGAGCCCGCAATCCACGACCGACACCGCAACCACGTCTTCCAGGCCGACAGCCCACAGGAAGACCAGTCACCGCGACCCAGCTCGGCGTCACGCCGCCTTCAAGCGCTCCCCTTGGCTTTGGGAGCCCGCGGACAAGCAAGACTACGTGCGGAAAGAGACGGAAGCGGGGCTCCGAAATCTCGACGAGGATGCCGTAACAGCCATCGCACAGTCCCGGCTTCCCAGCCGGCCATCAACCTTGATGAAAAAGATCAAGATCGACTCAGGCACTAGGGACCGGCTCTTCGCAATAGTCTTGTCGCAAATAAACGACCCTCACCGCGTGCCGTCATTCCCGTCGTTGGAGGTGCTCAATTTCCTGCTGCAGGCCCATCTGGTGCATGACGAGTACCAGTGCGATAGCTGGATACACTCGCCTTCGCTAAACCCGGCCGAGATGTTGCCGGAGCTGCTGGGTGCGATTGTGGCGAATGGGGCCAGCTTCATTGCGGTTCCGGCTATTTGGCAGTTTGGGCTGTCGATGCAGGAGATTGTGAGGACGAGGATAAGTAGTTTGGTAAGTTTCTTTCCACTTGAAGGTAGGGTAACATTTGACTGACAACTAGACACCAATAGTTCGAATCGCAAAACTCGAATACTCGGAAGCTGGAATGTCTTCAAAGCTTTGCGTTGCACCTTGCTATTGGCATGTGGAGCGGGTTTAAGAGGAAAACGGAATTGGCGGAGGCGTTTTTGCAGCCTCTGTTGATTGTAGGTTGCCACCCCTTTCCACCACCAGGCACTCGATATTGACCAAGTTACGGACAGATGATGCGTCGTGCCGGCGTCTACACCGCTGCCGTCTATACACAGGCAGACCTACCATCGGTTCTTCCTCAAGCTTCGGATACGCCTGAAGTGTTGGAGAGAAAATGGCGGACGTTCATCAATAGAGAGTCTTACAAGAGGTATGTTGAACCGTCAACCTAGAGGAACACGCCCGCTAACGGTACAGACTTGCCCTACATATGTTCCTTCATGATGTGCAAACTTCTGTCACCCTTCAGACCACACCCCTTCTCTCCTTCACCGAACTCTGCTTTAGCCTCCCCTCCTCACGCGACCTCTGGAAAGCGCCCTCCGCCAAGGCCTGGCGTGACCTGCACTTAATGAAACGTGCACCACCTCCCGACCGGCCCATGCCACGTCTCAATGAAATCATGCACTGTCCCGGCCTGCTCGACGACTTTGTCGACTTTGTTGACATTGAGCTCGTCAATACCGCCGTTCTCCACTCCTTCTGGGGCCAGATCTCCGCTTACCGCTACGGAATGAGGCTCTACCAAGAGCCTTCCACAGTCGCAAGCATGTCAGGCAACTACGGACATTACTCCCAGCGCAACTTCTCGAACCACCGTGAAGGACTCAAGGCCATGCATCGGGAACTTTACAGCGACGCGCAGGACTTTGCCGCCAGCGTCGTTTACGTGCACAAGAGCCAGCTGTACACCCCGGTTTCCCATCGACGATATCCAATTCCGTTTCCGGCGCCGGAAGGATCACATGCTACTTCTCCTGCCCCTAACGTCTCCTCACCAGTGTCAATCGCAAACTCAAATATGCCGATAACCTTTGAGATGTTCATGGTGGCTTTACATGTTGATCTCAACCAGCTCCAGTCCTATGCGGGGAAAGCAGGTGAGGAAGAAACCAGGAGGGCATCGGCGTATTTTCTCCATCAGGACCCTTATTCAGGCACTGGGGTTGAAGGAAATGGACGAGGAGGAACAATCGGAGGAGGGTGGGTGAGAAGCACAGATGCGAGGTATGCCGTCTGGCATGCGGGACAGGTGTTCAGAGCGGCGAGGGCACTACCTCCGACGGGGCTGAGGGGATTTAATGCCATGGCTGTGTATTTTGCTAGTTTGACGTTGTGGGTTTATGGGTTGCTGGGTGGTCCCAATCCGGGATCGCCGAGCTTACCGTCGCTGTTTTGGGGTAGTGGAGAGCATGAGATGGGTCGTGGCGGTCCTGGGGTTAGCGGAGGCTTTGGGATGGGTCATCATGGGCAGCAGCCGTTCAACGGCGGTGGAATGGAGGATCCGAGGAGGTCATCCGTCACGGTTCCGCTGCCGTCCGGTCATGGATATCAGATGCAGACGCCCCATCAACAACAACAGCAACACCCACCTTCGCAAACACTACCTTCACAACAACCCGCGCCACTGCCTCATCAGTACCAGCAACCACCGGACGTTCCCTTCGCGATTCTCGACGGTGAAGAGACGCGCGAGATACGTACTTTCCTACAAACAGGCCGTGGAATTCCAGCACTCACCATTTCGCAACAACCACCGCATCCCTCTGGTCCCTCCAACACCATGAGCATCCTTAACCCGGTAGTGGAATCCCTCCTCGCAAACCCATCCCTCCCCCTCCAAACAGCCTGCTCCATCTTCCGCGAAAACTTCCCCTCGCTCTCGCACAGCGAAAGTGAGCCGCTGCCGCCACTAGTCGAGAGTCTGGGGACTTTACTGAAGGATCTTGGCAGGGGAAGTACGCATGGAGGGAGTCGGGCGGGGAGCAGTGCTGGTGATGACGAAGAAGAATTAGAACGAGATGATGATGATGACGAAGAACAGGATGGAGACAGAGATGAGGGACGGGGTGGAACGGCGAGTAGGGAAAGGAGAGAGGATGGGGAAGGGGAACGACGTAGATGGGAGAACAAGACGACTGGAGTTGGGGCTGGGATGAAGGAAGAAGATAGGAGGAAAGAAAGGGGCAACTAATGGTGTAAGCGGATGAGGAGGAGAGAAACGGTCAATTGATGGTTGTGATGGGGTTCGTCGGAGTTGGTCAGTTAAGTGAAGATAAGGCCAGGAATGGTGGCGTCAGGGTCAATTATAATAACTAATGGGCAATAGTCTTGGGTACTGTCATGGTGTTAAACCTTTTGTTGTATTTCGGTAACTAGATGCTGGTTACCATGAAAAGGGATCGCAGGGCGGTCATGGAAAGGAGTACATAGGGCAATATAACTCGGAAGAATGGATAGAAAGGAGGAACTGGCAAGAATACAAAGGGATATTCATATATATAACGGAACTTGGTTACCTTCCAACGATTTCGAAAAGGGAGGGATAGATATACTGTGACTTGGGTGTCATCGCCCTGTTCCGCTTGAATGGCATATACCTCTTTCAATAACCACTACTTGCACTATCTTCCCCTTCACTCTATCACTCACTCATCAAACCATCCATCCACTCACCACTCACCACCCTTCTTCCACTCCCCAATTATGATCAATCACTCCCCAATAACATAAGTACATCCCTCCTTCCCAATCCAAACCTCATGTACTTGCCCCGCATCCACATCCAATCTCTCCCCAGGCCCATGCGTCGTCTTTTCCTTTTTGTCTTCTGAGCCCGGGTAAGCGATGGTCAGAGACCCAGAGAGGATTAAGTGTGTAGTTAGAGAGGAGTGTTTGTGCGGGGCGTAGTCTGCTCTCGATGTTATCTTATCAGTCTAGAAGATGATAAGTTGAAGTATATATGAACAGAATGAGAGGAAGGGGGGGGGGGGGGAATGGGGAAATAGGAAATGGAAAATGGCACAATAGGAAAGAAGAGAGGTGGGACAGGGAAAATAAAAGAAAGGGGGCAAGGAGAAATGATGCGTGGAGACCAGCGTAGAGCAGAATGATAGATGTGATGATTCTTGTTCTGTCTAACTCTTATCTTAGAATTGACTGTCTGTCCGTCAAGCCTAATATGCTTGATTCTAGCGAAGGTGGACGCTTCCCTCAATGGGGCGCCACTTCCCTTTGACAGACAGGGTGCTAACGGGGGAAAACCCCGTGTCAAGAAAGGAAACTGAGAAAGAGAGTCAGAAGAGAAAGAGACATACGAGCACCACCCCCATCAGTCCACGTAAACACATGGGAGAATCCCCACGAGCGGACCTGAGATTCTGCTTCTTTCCTGGATAGAGACGGCGGGGACGTCATATTTTCTTTTTCTTCTTCGAAAATTTCGAGATGTTTGGATTATCTGTGTGATGAGATCACGGCGGGGGTTCGGTTTGGGACTAAGTAAGTAGATAGATCGATCGATCGCTATTACTGTTATGTTATGTCAATGTTTATGTTACTGTTAACAACACTCTTCGTTAGTTTGTTTACACTAGTTGGTTGGTTCGCGGTTTTGTCGGGACTTGTGTCGAGTGACCGACTACCATACCATACACTATGGTATTGGGTTGATTGACTGACTGACTGACTGATTGACAGGCGAGCTTTACCCGATACATATAAGTAAGTGAGTGATCCTTCAGATGTTCATCAACTGCAGTGCTCACATGGACTGTACTGTACTTACTATACTGTGCATCAGGCAGTGCCGCAGTGGTTGTTGGGTGTGTTGCGGATGACGTCACTTCTGGCAGCGTTGACACTGCACGTCTTCTTGGCTTTAGGATGATGGACTATTGATTGATTGTCTCGATGGATGAACTACAGTTGAAGGCCGGGACCAAAAAAAAGGGAAATAGAATTGACGTGCGGGCAAGTTAGAGAAAGCAGTCATTAAGTATCAATCGCACAAGTTGCTAAAGCTGCTTAGTTGGCGGGGGGCTTCCGCGCAAGCCGTGTCTGTCCGTTTTGAGATTATTTCCCTATTTCGGACGTCTCACATTGTCAAGATCAAAACAAAACAATTGATGATATGAACGATGATTACAAGAGGAACTGAAAAGTAATTGAACGCATTGAAAAGGAATGGGAAAAAAGATGTAAAAGAGAAAAAGAGATGCCCAATAACAGGATTGAACTGTTGACCTTCGCATGGACTTGATATCTCGTAGAGAAGATATTAGTACGACGCTCTAACCAGCTGAGCTAATCGGGCTGTTGATTGGTTGTTGAAAGCAGTTTTGCAACAATATTCTATAATGGAAATGCGGAAGCAGGCGTCCCGGATCGAAATCAACTTTACTTCCGCTAAGCGTTACCACGCATCACATCCAGCACAAAGAATTGCATATCAAGAACCTGGGTATGTAAAAGTTACTACAAGGTAAATTACATGTTTTGCATCCCCTATATAGTATGCGGGAACAGCTATCCTCAGTCTCCCTAGCGATTCCTCCCAACCCAAACCAATAAATTCTTCCAGCGACCTTTTCCTCTCGGTGGCAATTCCCTTGATTTCTTCCTTCCTACCCTCTCCTGTTTGCCCCTTCCCTGTTTTCCCTGGGTATAGTAGTAATGATAGTGGTGTGTGTATATATAATATGTACGAAGTAGGATATATATAAATTCCTCGCCAGCGATGGCGGACGCAAACTGGTAGTATCCAACATAATTATCCAAGATGATGGAGGATGAAGATGATGATGATGCCAGATCCCCAAACCAGAATCGAAAATGAACAAGAGACTGCTAGACAAAATGTCGTACGTAGTGCTTGTAGCCAGCCACGAGAAAAGGTAATAAAGGATAAGGAAACAAAAAGATGTCGATGCTCTGAAAAGCAGTGAATAAGTGGGTTGATGAGTTAAATTTCCAGAAACGCCCAAGTATGCATGACGTGGTATCAATGATGAGATGAAGGTTTATGACGAAATGATGAAAACTGATACAAAGAGATAGAAGGAGTGTTGGCAAAACCCATCCATCGCTCATTAGCCCCAGATTGGGGCATTGCGGTAAGCTGGTGAGTTGTAGCTGTGAAGGATCCGATAAGGCGGATTAGGACCCTGCGAAGTGTGCATGCTCATGCTACGCTTCCTATGATGGCCTGTCTGTCGGGGAACGTAGGACGGGTATGTGCTGTCAGGCACCACGTGCCCTTGAGTTCCCCTGTAGTCCATGTTGGGGTTGCTCCAGGGTTCGTTTGCCAGCACTCCGTAGACACTTGACATGTCCGGAGGGTTAGCATTCTGGAGGCGCAACTGCTGATAAGCGTCATGACTGGGCCTATGACGAAGCGTCTGAGCCCGCTGGATGTAGGAACTATGGCGAGGCTGGGCACTGCTCGGCCTTTGGATTCCGTTACTAGAATTGTGATGACTCGTTCCATTCGAAGATGTCATGGACGACTGACGGCTGATGTCACTCCTGGTTGGTGGATTCCAGTCGGGAACCCTGTAGGTAGGAGGCAAGGTATTCTGGCGCTGCCTGAACGCGGCGAGCCGTCGAGGGTCCATCTGGGGAGGAGCAGCCGAAGTGCCCAAGTAGTCCTGGCCAATAGTCCCCAATTCCTCGTGAGCACTGTAGTTCTGAGCTGCCTGTTCGTGCACCGGGTAGCTGTGGATGCTTTCTCTGCTCGGTCTGCGACTAGACTGCACAGACGGATAGCTGTGAACATCCTCACGGCTGACCTCATGTCTCAAGCTGGAAGTTGACGATTGTGGCCGCAGATGAGGTTGGGGTACCCGAAGCGACGACCGTCTCGTCTGCATGCTGACGGGTGGTTGATTATGCGTCGTATTGTGGTCGAATGTCATGGACGCAGTCCGGAAAATCATTGGGCTCGGGAGTGACGCCGGGGGCAGTTCTGTAGGCAAGCCAGCCAGGTTCGAGTGCGCTCCAACCATCTGCATATTGAGAGTTCGCTCAAGCGAGACAGTGAGACTCATTGTCCGATCGCATGGTAATCTGGATCCGGCCATTTCCGCCTCCTTGAGTGCTTCGGACCCAGAGCTGCTCTTGACGGTACTACCGTAAACCTTTCCACTCTTGGGTGGAAGAATCGAATCATAGATGCCTGGTTGCTCCTCTTCGCGGCCCTCCCTCATATCGTCTTTGCTAGTACGTACGGGCTTCCTGACCATCGACTTCCTAATCGACTTTCTCCAGGACACACCCTTGGTCGCGGCAAGTTCGCCAGTTTCCGCCTCAGGAACGGTGGTAACCGTCGGTTTGGCGGTGGTTGCTTCGAGGCTTGCTTCAACACTGCCCACACTAAAGATGGTCTTCAGAGTGTCCATGCTGGAACGGGGCTTGAGAGCCAGCCTCCTAGCGGTTATGGGAAAGCGCCGGCCGTGGTCACGGAATCCGTGCTCGACGTCTTTCGGGATGGCTGGAACGCATATCTCTTCAGGTGCATAACGGCTGTGTGTAGGCAGAGAACTGGTGGGACGGCGAGCTCCGCTCAAAAATCTCTGCAGCCTGCTCGGCTTCTGTGACGTGCTGCTGATGCTGTGAGCCGAGTTTGAACGATCTGACTTGCTGGACTTAGTGCTGGCTGGAGTAAGGCTGCTAAGTTCGGGAGACTTCGGGCTACTGCCACTTAGTGAAGGACGCTTTTCGCTTTTCTGCGAGGACTTGGGAGTGAGGAGACCGGCTTTAGCTTGCTGACCGCGGAGAGAAAGACTCTTCCGGAGATTCTCAAACATCTGGCCTCCCTCGAGAGGAGAGACTGGGGGAGTATCTTTAGCAGGGACTGATGGAGGCGCCTCTGATTCGGGCGTCATTGAAGGAGGAGAAACACTGAGTGGAATGTCGAGGCCAAAATCTTGAACCTTGACTGGACTGATCTGTATCTCGTCTGATTTGTTCTTCTCCCGATCGGAGATCTTGGCCTTGGTGTGGAGCGAGCGCAAAGACACATTGGAACTGTATCCAGAATCGGCCTTGGCCAAAGGCTTGGTGTTAAGAGATTCGTCAAAGATGCTCATGAACCCGCTGTCGGTTCTGGCGACAGTCGTAGCCGCATCACTGCTGGGGGATGTGCTAGGCTGCGACTTTGCATTCGGGTCCAGACGGACGTCCAGGACTTCGTTTGAAGAATATTCGGGTTGAGTTGAATTCTGGGACAGAGCAGCCAAAACGTTGTTGGCTGGTTTCACCACACGCGGCTCTGGCATTTTGACTTGGAGGAATTGTGACGCCTCCGCACGTGAATCAAGGCTGCTCTGCACCCTCGAAAAATAGTCTACTCTTTGTCCCTTCCCCTCGAGCTCGGGGCTCAATGGGCTCGCAGTACCGTTGGTGATACGCAACGTTCCCAGCTTGAAAGCTCCAATTGACTGATATTCGTCCTCGCATGGTGTCACAACCCGCTGCAAAGCCAATGGATCTAGTCCAGGTGGCGGCATGGACAGAATGCCCTCCCTAAAAGACTCAATGGACTGCTGGCGCGAGATCTGTGGCGTTTGTGGGTGGCTATACCGGACTGACTGCGAGTGGGTCAGGCCATCTCTTGTGGAAGTTCTGCGCGTTGCCACACCGGGCGTTTGAAGTATCGATCGTCTGCGGACTGGCAAATAGAGAGAAAGATCGGAGTCTGCGCGTCTAATAGGAGCGCCGTCGTACTCAAAGTGATCCCCGCCGTTCCACGAATGCTTTCTATCAGGAGCTCCGTTGTATTCAGAGTGATCCCCGCCGTTCCATGAATGCTTTCTAGCAGGAGCTCCGTTGTATTCAAAGTAATCTTGGCCGTTCCATGAATGCTCTGTCATGGTCGTTGCGCGCTCGGATACGGCAGTTGTGTGTACGAAAGCCGGCTCCTCAGCAAGGTTGATCAGTCGCTGAGAGGCATAAGTAGTTGTATCGTAGTTCCAGGTTAGGCGGGTTTGGGGCGGATGAGCCCAGCTATGGAACAAAATTGTTAGCAATCTTTAAGCGGATCTCTGTGATGAATGGAACTTACCTCTCCTGGTGTGGCTGCAGATAACCGGCGGCGGCGGCGGATTCAAAAGTCACGGAGTTGGACCTGGGACTGGTGGCCGTGGTGCAGTTCCGTGACATTGGCCGAACAGTACTGGCCCCCTTTTCCTTATGTGGATTCCCTTGCGAAGACTTGGACCGGAACAGACTCATTCTTCTGGCTGCCTTTTCTTGCATCAACCTGAGTGAACCCTTCCTCCCTCCCAGCTTCGCCTTTACTTCCTCCGAATTACCCTCGGACACATTGGCGGATGGGCACATTATTGGCGCGGGGTTGGTTTCGAGAGCTGCATTTTCAGGACGGGCGGGTAGGACGGCGCTCTGGCGATTTAGACTAGTAGAAAGCCCTCCGGGGTGCAAGGAAAGTAGGCCTTCGTTGGTAGGGTTGACGGTTTTGGGCTTGGACAGCCTCGAGGGAGACAAATCGGGGTTTTCGAGTGATGATTGTGTATTCCCCATGATAAGTTGGTGGGTATTAATGCTGCTGCAGGAGGAGGGAAGGCTCCCTGGCGCAGAGACAGCGCAGACAGGATCAAAGAGGACGGCAGGGTAATGCTATGCCTTAGTATACTGAAACTGCTGCCATGCCTTGATCCGTGAATCGTGAATCGTGATATGCGTGATGCGGTGATGATGGTGGTGGTGGTGACCTGGGGTCTTGGTATGGGGAAGGACCCTTATGGCGGCTTCATGTAGATGGACCTCAGCCTCTACACTTGTATTACTTACTATTAGGAGGAGAGGAGAGGGAAAGAGGAACTGGCGATGAACATAATTAAAACGAGAGGGAGCAAAGGTGGGCCGGAGCTAAGGAGAGATGTGCTCGGGTCTTATCAGGAAGGCAGCATGGACAGGGTAGCCAGGAAGGAAAGAAGGAACGAAAGGTACACTACTACCTAGGTAGGTACGGCCAGATCCCAGGGCCGGGCCAGGATGTTTGGTCTTGGTCTTTGGGAGATGGAACCTGGGAAGACCCGGGGGAGGATTGAACGAAGGAGAAAGGGCTCCATCGTCAGCTTGGTTGGCAATGGTGTGTGCTGGGCTTACAGTTGCCCTGGTCCCTGCCGACTTGCTCACTAGACTAGTCCGTTGCCGAGTCGCTGCTACCTCGTCGACTAGTTGGTATTGACCGTACGGTAACGTAACTTTCCCTTTTTTTCTTCTCTCTCTTTTTGTTTCCCCCTCTTGTCTTTGCATTATTACCCTGCGCCGGTCTGAGACGGCTGACACCAATTGAAGAAAGCAAAACACCACAGCAACGCTCTGACGGTGGTGGGGGAGGGGAAGACTCCAAACGGGAGGTTGGAACTCTTGGAACAGGGCAGACATGACAAACACGGAAAGCACAAAGACAAATAGAAAGCCGAAAACGACTTTTTAGCAGTCTTGGCTTCTATCAGATCGCCTTCTCAGTGACGCCCACAAACACTTCAGGTTCCGTGAAGAGCCGCACAGCATTCGGCTTACGGCAAGAACCAAAGGTACCTCTACGCTGCGCTGACTACCTAGCTACACCACTGTGGTCAAAGACAAGGGAAGTTCTCTGACCTCGGATCAGCAACATGAATGAACACCACACACAGAAACTCTTCCCTTTTTTTCCCGAAATTTACTTTTGCCGTACCGGTCGAAACCTGAAAAATTGCAAAGGGCCAATATGGTGGATATGAGAGCACCCTTTTTGATGGGCGCATCTTCCAAGTTGTCGGATCTGCATGCCAAACCGGAGAAAGTGCGTCACTGAAGCGAGAATTGCCAAGAGCAGCATTCATTTCACCTCTAGGCTGCACATGTACCGTTACATACAAACCACGCAGTCACTATACTTTCCGTTCGGGGTTCTTGATGAGAGCCCGGCGCACTGTAGCCTGAGTCGGTGGACTCCCGTCGTCTGATGTCCCGCCGACAAGGTACCTGCCCCATGTGCCTGTGTGTGCTTGTCAATGTACCCCAGCATTCTGTATGTACGAGCATCCAAATCTGCAAAGAAATCAGGCGCGACATGAGATTTTCTTCATAAAGAAGCCTTGATGCTCGTCACATCCTTCCATTTCTTGCGGTTCATCGGCAGTCAATCGTCTTGTTGCGTGCCATTTCACCGCCACGATCGATTTGGATAACAACTGAAAGGAGAGAGTACGAAATAACAACAGTTGACGGCGTGGAGTGTGTGGTTATTGGGTCAGGATGAACCCAAACATCTACGCCCTGATGTCTTGCGGTGGTGTTGTTTCGTTCACGATACTTGCAACGTCCCCTTCTTCCACTTGATGAAAAGGCCGGCTGTTGCTCTCTTTGGGGTGGCACAGCAGGAGGCTCCTTCCACAGCACACATACACACACATTTTCTCTCTCTCTCTTCTCTCTCCCGTCATGAATGGGCGAGAGGAACCGGGCGACAGGGCGGGGATAAGGGAAATGCTGCGACGGGGAGCTTTGACAATTTGCACCACCCGAAAAAGCGATGATATCTCAATCGCAGAACAAGACTTGGGCGCACTGCGGACAACCGACCAATGCGAAAGGTCGTGGTGCTTCCCGTACAATGAAGAGTGCTGTTATCATTCCAAGGCCTGGGCCAGCATGATGACCATCCAGAATGCCATGCACACATGATTTCACCATCGATACCTAAAATTGAAGATGAAACTGAACACATGGGAATGATTCGGCGCGGGCTCGAGTGGCGACAGCATCTGCTTCAGGCTCTTACTCAGCGGACTCGATTGACACCCAGGCGGAGACTACACTACACTACATGCTGGGTAGGTCAGGTATGTATTCTTCAACCTCAAGGTACCTCTACCTCAGTGTCTGAATGTCAATCGCAACCAAAACACCAAAGTCTGTGACAAGCTCAAATGTAGATTAAAGCAGATCCCCCCTTTGCACTCTCCTAATTCGCCGCCTTGTGGACTCTAGTCTGTACACTGACGACGACGACGACGAAATCGAACCGTGTTTGGGACTGTCGCTGCAACAGTGCAATCGATTACACGACACAGCTGCGCAGCACGGGCAATCAATGCACACCATCTTTCGCTTTTTCCCCAGCGGTTTCCACTTGTCCATCACCTCCAAGCGCGCAGCGTGCGTGGGTTGATGGAGATGGGTAATTTCTCTGAAATTTGACGTTATTCGCATCCGGCATTACTCCATGTCCCATCACTGTGTGAATCAGCTTGGCGGGGGTTTCACAGTTTCTGCTCCATTCCATGTCTGCACCCTGAATGTGTCTTATGGTCCGTCCGGATGGTCTGTACCTTCACCGCGACTGCGCGACACCTAGTGGTTAGCAGAGTTTTGGAATGGACGGGATTGTGGTCTCGATCTTTTGATTTGCACTTAGGTGCAGCAATAGGGCATCGCGTCGCCCACAATTCTCGTTGGACTGGTAAGCTAGTGTTACTTGCTTGTGAAGGCGCGTCGACAGCGTCCACAAAAGTCCACAGCGTCAGCCAACAAATCAATTGGAGGCTCCACTCGCGCTATGTAACATTTTAGGCTTCCCCTTGTCCAGCCCCACAATTGGCCGAAGATCGCTGGCCAATTCCCACGAAGAAGTGCAAGTCCCATCATGAGGCTCTGGCTCTTGTTTCTCCAAAACAGAACCCCGTGTGCGAACAAGGACGTCATCCTCTTCATCCTAGTGTACACCGGGACATCCATTCTTGGCCTGCATAGCTCGCACAAAAATTAGAAACACAAACAGAAACAGCAGCAAAGATTATCTCCGGATAATGCATGTTTCAGATAGGCAGTCCGAGCGACTTAGCTCCAGCCATGAACCCGACACAGCGACATCCGAACATAGACTACCCGACGTCGTATCCAGACCGAGTAAACAAAATCACGGAGGTTGGGTCGATTGGTGGTCAACTTTCCGGCTCGATCGCGTGCAGTGGTGGAATATATTCTCCGCAGCGTGCCCGGCTCTGTCCCTGGAAACTCCCCTCCAGCCTCTCTCCTCAGATTCTTGGACCTATCGTCTGAGCCCGTGTACGGTACACGCGTGGCCTGTGGAAGTGCGGAGCGCATCGTCCCAGTCAGGAACTTCCCGGCGCGAGTCGAACCTTCATCCTGTTACCGACGGAGACATCGCCGGCAGCACTAGCGGGAAAACGAAACCACGGGCAAAAGAAGGTTGAAAAAGGGCACAGAGACCATTGGACAGTTCGGCTCCAGGTGCATGAACCTAACGTGAGACTGATGGCACGAACTGCGAAACCACGAGGCCGACGACATGATACTGAGGAATTGGCGGTCAGATCATGATCTTCCACTCTAAGCCTTTTTCACCTTTTGATTTCCAGCTTCTTCCGTGACCGCCAGAGTTCAAGTTTCCGGGCTAAGACACGGAGATTCCATCAACTTACCGGTATGTAATTTACAAACGTGATACATCCGGTGATGCGAGCCAAGTATGCGAAAACAACCTCAAAACTCCGGTCGAGCGCGTTCCATTTCTGCGCATCCTTTTCCCGCTTCCATTTGGGCGGGAGCACTTGGATCGATGATCAGAAGAAGAGTCCCCGTTGTCCGCCGTTGACTGCAACGCCAGAGTCCCATGGGCTTTACGGCCGAAAGTGGGATTTCGCGACCATTCCAAAGGGTCCAACTTGTTTTCCTTCAAAAACCTGGAATCTTCTGAGGATTCTGGGCGCCTTCTAGGTGCTAAAACCGTTCAACAACCATCCTATCAAGTAAGTTCGGCACGTTCCACCCGCCATAACAAGCAAAGTGAAGATGGTGCAGGCCAGGCAGGTCTGCCCTGGTCCTGGTTGCATCCATCGATGCCGAATCCCCATTCCCCGCACGACTCTGCCATGAACCTGTTCCGAAGCCGGTTTTTAGCCCCTAGCCCCCCACCCCCTTGTCTGATCGGAAAAGTTGTCAACAATCACAACAATAAAACGTTCGTCTGACATCACCATCAACAAACTGACTGAAAACACAAGACAAAGGGTTCTGAAGGGGGGGAGAGAAACAGTCCCACAATCAGGGCAGATGAGTTCGGATGTTAAACCGAGATTGGAGGAAACTGGCACCCCGATTTTAGAGGGCCTTCCCTTTCTCGAAATCACCTGCCATGCCCACACTTTGAAGAGAAAACAAGCATGGAAAAGTAGAAGATGGGGTTTCGGAAATATTGACCAACTACCGTTACCGTATCATACCTTACCTAAATGCTGACAATAGATGACCGTCGGCCTGTCCCCGACCCCAGAAAACACCACCATCGACGGATCTGACGTTGGAAT